TGACAAATTTTTTTTTTAAAAAACTTTGAATTAAATTTTCTCAAATCCAAAACATTAATTTTATACTCCCAAACACTATATTAGTGTAATTATTGAATATTTTCAATGAAAAAATTAAATGTTACTCCTACCATTAAAGACTTCTGAAATTTTATTACAACAACAAATCTTTGCTTTTAATAAATACTTTCAGCTAAAATTCATAAGTTCAATAAAATAATTTTTAAGTATTACCATTTCTTATTGAAATTCCAACAAATTAATTTTTCATTAAAATAAATTTCAAATAAAATCATTTTGATGCACTTTTTTTTATAAAAACATAATCTCAATTTTTTTATATATATAAATTGCTATTGAAATAATTTGTTTATAAAAAGGTGGAGTACAAATTTTTTTAAAAATAATATGATTATTCATTTTATTTACATCGTACACTGAAATAATTTCTAATTATTATACAAAATTTCATGTATTATTTTAAATGAAAATCAAATCATAAAATATAATGATGGAGATGATTATAATTATTAATAGTATAATTCATGTCGAGAGCCATCTCTCAGTATGTGGATATTAAAAATATAAATTCTAAATAAAATAGTGAAATAATTTTTTATTAACACTCATCAATGCCATTTATCTTTTTATAATTAAATAGACAACTTCTTTAAAGTGTTAGTGCTTTGGAGGGTGGGTGGTGAGCCCGTTTTATACCAACAAAATAATTATTCTAGAAACTCTGGTCTATTAATTCTCCAAGAATCTAAACATCATAAGTATCATCTAAAACATAACATTCAACAATTTACAATACAAAACTTCTAGATTTGAAAAGAAAAGAAAAAATATTGAATTTCAATACTTAAAATATTTTTTATGATTTTCCTAATGCTATTTAGTTTGAATAGTAATATTCACACTCAACAATTACAGTGAATTACCTAATCGAATAATTTTTAATTGGTTATTTATATCAAATTAAGTAGAGGGTTCCACTTCTTTATTTGTTGCATAATTAACCAATTAAAAAAATAGGTCAAGCAATTCATTGTAATTATTCAGCGCAAGAAAAGTTAAAAGGAACAAATTTTGTAACAAATGTGAGCCAACTATTTGGTTTGACAACTAGAGTTGGGTGGAGGTTAAGGAACATAACTGGACTGGGCTTAGGCTGAAATGAGATGAGATTTGATCTTGTAGAATTTTTCACGTAATGGACCAATTAAATTCTCTACTACTTGTTACCAGTCCAACACATTAAAGTTGATTACAGGCCCAAATAAGATGACCCTTGTGTCCCTCACTCTTTCTTTCTTTATTTTTTAATTTATTTAATAAAAGTGTGTCTGATATGGGTTAAAAGAGCAAGTACTCAACTATTGAGTCAAAGCATGATCTTTTAACTATTAAATCAGTGATTAATTATGACAATGATTTTTTTCTAACACATTTTTTTATATTTAGTAGGTTGCACAAAAATTCGGTCAAACCGAAAATTCAAACCGGATCAGATTGGACCGGATAGTTTGGTTTATTTGTTAACAATTTGATTCGGTTACAATTTCAAATTTATAAAATAATAAAGATACGATTTGGTCACGGTTTGAGATATTTTAGAACCGAATTAAACTGTTTAGTTATATATATTTTATATATATATAATATAATTTAATCGTGCAATTCACTCTTAATTCTCTTAAGTCTTATTAATTTATTCGATGATTATTATTATTTATTTATTTACAATGACTGAATTTTATTGGTTTTCTGAATTGTGGCGGAATGTTTGTTGTTGAATTAGTAATTCTGAATGTATTAACTTAGTAATAATTCTGAATGTATTCACTTCAGTTTGAGAAGTGACAAACAAAAATAAATTAAAAATTAATATATTAGTAGTTATGAATGTGTTGGTTAACTTGGTTTATTATTGTGCATTTGGATTTTGAAATATAAATACTTATGTAGTAGGGAAAAAAAATTAAAAAAACAAGAAAAAGTAAAAAAAAAAAAAAAAACCAAACCATAGCAATTTCTCACAGTTTGGATTGGTTTGATTTCTTTAGTCAAATGATTCGATTTGGTTCTAAATTTTATGGAACCGTTAAAATCGATTTAGTTTCAAAAAACTTTCAATCCGGTCCAAATCGAATCGTGTGCACTTCTAGTTTAGTTATATCAAAATTTTATTAGGAAATTAGTAATTAATTATGATAATAATAAAAGTTGATGTAGATTTGTCATATTTAGTTACATAAAAATGCTATGCAAGTCTAATGGGTCACGGGACTATCTCATTAGAGTAACGAGAGAGTTGGTACAAGTCAATTTGTATAGTACTATTGCTCTTGCTTATATTAGATGTCAAGATTATTAAAATAGTTTTTATTGTTTGTGAAAAGTTAAATTAATCATTCAGTAAATATTTTAATTCAATCGTTGATAAAAGACAAATGAAAAAGCATACGAGAGAAAGTGACGAAACAATGAAAGTTAAAATCTTGCTTTAATAAACAATGGGATTGTTTCTTTGTCCAGAGCAATAGGTGGGCAATAGCGTTTGAAAATTTTAAATAAATAAAATTATTTTTGTGGTTATATGCACTGTATTTTTTAAAATTTGATTACAAAATGGATTAAGTTATTCTTGTCAATTTGTGGTCTAATTGACAATTTTTTTAAACTTTTTTAAAAATTTGATTACAAAATGGATTAGGTAATTCTTGCCAATTTGTGGTCTAATGGACAATATAAATTTTTACTATTGCATTGTGATTTTTCAATTTTTTTTAAGACGAAGTTAAAGCAACTTATATATATGGGAATGGAGACTCGAACCTAGACCATTTGACGTGGAACACTTTACGAATCTTCTACAGAAATTCTCGCATGTATTATAAGGATTATTCATCACTAAGGTACGGTTATTTAATCACCTCTTTAATTAATTGTAGTATTCTTACAAAAAAGATTATCTCTAGTATGGTGGCGAGTCTTTTTCTTTCGCCTGAATGAACCGTCACTTTTACAAACACCATAACCCGACTAAGCAAAAGAGTCCGTTACATGATTTATCTTTATAAATGTTGAATTTGTGGGGGTAATTACTTAGAACTACATTTTATGCAACAACTCTAACTATTTGATAGAAAAAGGGTCCAATGAGATAGCAAATTCCAACTTTGTCTATGAACAACGTATCTAATTGTATTATTCTTCTAAACCGGTGCAAAAATGGATGTTTTTTTTTACTCAGTTATTGAAATTTTTGGTATAATTCGTCTATTTTATTACGAGGACTGAAAAGACTCTCTTAATAGCATTAATATTCGTGATAATTCCTACTTTTACAATAATTATGTAACTTGTCATATACGTATGTAGTCCGAATACAATGATTGATAAAAATCAAGATGAGTTTCATATATTGTCAAGTCATTTTAAAGCCCACTTCATCCATGAGTTTCATACATGTAGACTGTGTAGTGACCCCATCTCAGGTTCCCATTTTCAAAATTCAAGTACCAACTACAAGTAGTACTAACTCATCAATTGTCCCACCACACACCACCAGATGTGTAAATGGATAAGCCTTCAGAATTCCCAGAGCCTGAGATAGAGATTGATCAAAGCACAGACTCCCAACTTCAATACTATCATCAAACATGAACATCAATCTGCATACATGCGCGCCCCTCTCTCTCTCTATATATACATATGTGTGTGTGTATGTATATATATATATATAGAGAGAGAGAGAGAGAGAGAGAGGGGCATACACAAATTCAGTTAGAAGATGAGCTTGAAAGGACAATTTCTGTAATGTTAAAATGAGCGATACATTATTTTTCACATGCCTCCTCTGCTCCACGTCTGTAGTTCTGGACCTCTGGCCACGTACGTTTTGGTCTATTCTCCGTGCTGTCAGCCCCAAGATTCTTCTACACCATTCTTAACAAACCAAAACTATTTTTAAAGTGGTTTTAGAAATTTAATTAATCAATGCGAATGTAAGGAAAAATCAATAGTCGTTAACAATAATATATTTTCCAACCATTCAATCAATGTATTAATAAGTAAAAGGTACCAAAAATAATCCCCAATGTTTTATTACGGAGTATTATATAAGTAAAATTAGTGTTTTTTGGTGGGTAAATCATATACATGGTATTTTATTTTACTTTTTTTTAGTGAAAGGACACAAAAAATTTGTTTTTTTTTTTTTTTGACAAATTGCTTTTAGATTCAAATGTATATATATGACCTATATTATATATATACATTCATATATAGGGGTGACAATTTGTATTCGCGGGTCCTAACCCGTTTATTTTTTTGCTACTACAAGGAAGAGTAAATAAATAAACATAAATTTTTTAAAAATGGAACAAAATAGCAAAAGGTGTTCCAGAAAAAATATCCAAAAAAAAAAAAAAAATGAAAATGAAAAAAAAAAATTAGTAATAAAAATTTCCATTGAAGATGCGTAGTTTATCACAAACACAAACTATTCAACTCAACAGACATTTCAGATTTGTACTGAGTACGACTCACTACAATACAGTTATACCACCAGTCACGAGATCCGATCAGATCGTCTCTCTCTCTCACACACAAACACACAGTAGTCTTTCTCACTCCACCAAACACATTTAACAAACTCAACAGACCAATGCTAATTTTTCAATGTCACAAAAGCAAAAATCTTCAACCATCCCACCAAATCACTACACCTTCTAAGTTCTATCTCACTCACCACTCATTATTACAACCTTCAAAATTGATCTTCAACCACCCTCAAGCCCACCCGAAATTCACCTGGTCTAAAATATGGATCTTTGTGTTTTAACCTAAAACTCGTATCGAAATAAAAAAGACGATCGGGGAGGTCGAGGTTAGATGTAAACAATTTTACTTAGTCTGAAGAACAGGTTTCAATTCCGAACTCGTAACCTTTAAGTCACAATATAACGAGCTTAGTGCCGAAAATCATACCATAATAAACTAATAAAGATAATTTATGCCAGATCCAAATCACATATAAGCATATATATATATATATATATATATAGTAAAAGAAAGTGTGATAAAAACTTCTTTTTTTTTTTTTTTTTTTTTTTATTGGAATTGAATTTTCTCGTATATATACACTGTATTTGTCTCAACAAGTGAAAACCCACCCGTTAACAATTTAAACTTTTACAGACCCGAAATGGAAAAGTACTCGCTGTAAAGCTCAGTAACACCGGAGACAGCCCAGAGCCGTTGATTGAACTCATCTTGCATATCATGTGGCACGAAGGGTGTTCTACACAGTGGACATGTTTTCTGGTCGTGGTCCATCCAACGGTCCAGACAGCTCCGGTGGAAAATGTGCTTGCAGTTCGACAACCACCTGATCTCTTCCCCGACCTCGAACTCGTACAGACAAACGACACAGCTTTCCGGCTGGTCTCCACAGCCGGAGACAGCCAACTCCTCGAACTTCACCACCGGAAGCAGCTCTCGGAGCAGAACGGCGGATACGGGCGGGTATTCGGGTGCCCGGATCGGGGTTTCCGGGAAAGAGGCACCGGGTTCGAGAAAATCTGAGAGACCCAGAAAGCGGAAGAGAGAGAAAATGAGGTTTCTGATGAAACCCAGAAGAAGAAGCGTGTGTATGAATAGTTTTGGGAGAAAAATTTCGGTGTAACCCACTGGGAATCCCATTGAAACGTAGAGAGAGAAAGTGAGAGTTTTTAGCGTGTGTGAGAGAGAGAGTGTGTTTTTTAAGGGGAGAGAAGCTTCGGATTCGGGTGTGAGTGGTGGAGATTTATATTTATAGTGAGAAGTGCAGTGAAATTCTACTGTGACGGGTTGTGACATTGAGCTTCTCACGGGACCAATAGTATGGCATATAAGTGATTTCTTTATGTGGTGTCCACTGAATAGAAGGCATTATTATAAATGGTTGTCATTTTGTAACATCAAATGACATGAAATATGAGACTCTTGTAAATATACAGTATATGTCTTGTAACAATTATTTGTATTAAGTGAAACTTTTATATTTTTATGATAACAACGTCATATTAATCAAATTTTTATTTTATTTTTTTTTTTGTACAAAATAAGAAGAGTTAGAAGTTAGATCAGTAGAAATTCGGCACTCCAAAATATACTGGAGGCACTAACTTACTGAATTATCGAAACATCTATTTAAATTTTGTTATCAATGTCAAAATTTAGTTTATTTTGAATACTTTTTGAAAAATTATTTTTAATTAAAAATTAAAAGTTTTTGAGTTCATCACTCACGCGGTGGTCGATTCACCTTCATTTAAAATTGTTCGACTTTTAAACGTTGCTAATTTGATGAACAATGATGTAGAATGATTAATGGAGTTAAAAGGTCACTTTTGCTTAAAAAATTGTTATCACTGTGCATATGTGTAACATGTTGTGTAAGTGGAGAACTAGTCACCTTCCCTTAAATTGTATTTTGACATATTTAATCTTTTAATGATGCTGATGATGCATATATATACATGGTACTATATAGTTAATTATGAATTCTTTATTCCAAGAAAATGATACCATTGGCATTTCCAAACAAAGTGAAACACACTAACTTTTTTTTGGGTGTTAATTATTTTTTGTATGGTAAAAAATGTTCATGAGCTAACTCAACTCGACACCTTAGCTTGTGCAATATATTATTTACATATTTTACTAATATATTTCTTTTATAATTTATTGTTTTATTTATCAATACACACACTATGTGACAATCTATAAGGAAATCCATTAGACATTTGTGTGTAAATTAAAAAAAGATTAAGGCTCGTTCCTTTCGATGAAAAATATATATTTTTTAAGTAAAATATATATATATATATATATATTTTTTTTTCGGTATTTGATAAAGGTTTACGTCAAAGTTGAGATCAAGTTTATCGAATAGAGCATATAAAATAACTTGCCAAAAATTGATAAATAAATTATTTTTGTTAAATTTTAATATAATTTTTTTCGTAAATATTTTACGACAATTAAATACCAGAAAATAAAAAATAAAAAATAAAAAAAAAATTTATATCCAAACAACCGGAGCCTAAATAAAAAATTCCATTAGACATTTTTTCATGGATCAACATTGCCTGTGACCATTGTTGAAGATAGGTTTATCAATTAAGATAATTTTTAATAAATTAAACTCGAATGGGGCGTAAAATATTTGATTTATTTGTAGCACTGTATTCAACAATGGGGACCAAATCCCTAACTTTGTACCTTCATGCCAAGACAATCACTATATTATATGCTTCGATCCCACCAGATTTTTTTCATGAAAATCAACAGAAACGTCCCAAATAGGACAACACTAGAATATTAATGACCACTCAATAAGGTTGGTAACTTTGTACCAGTAGGTACATTTCATATATTTCATGGTAGAGCTGCTCCAATTTCACTTGGGAGTGAAAGTAGCTAATTTTATGCTCTGATTATTGTCTGTTGATTTTTGTGAAAACAATATTTCTTCTATGCAGAGCTTTTTTCGGTATATTCTTTTGAGAAAATTTTAGACAGTCTCGGTGGATAAGATACCATCACAGAAGTTAAAAATTGACATATTTGATTTGCTTATTGGTCTGAATTTCACCGTGATCATGTAAGAATTTATCTATTCTTTTATGCACGCACACTTTAAACCATTTACAATAGTTAATCTTAAATTTTTATCATAGGATGAATTTCACACATAAGCACACATAACTTACCTGCCAGGTTTTAGTTTTAAGTTGTAACAATAAACCCTACTTCAATTCATAATTAACTTCCTCCAACCTACTCAACGGTCGATTATTGTTAAGAGTTAAAATTTTCATTCATCACACGTAACAAAAGCATCATCACATCACATCATCACAAACACACACGCGCACGTATGTATCTAGAACAATCATATACATCCATGCACAACACAATATTTTACATAGTTCACCTAACTTTATGACTATGTCAATGGATAAAGAAATTTCCACTATTATGAATCAAGAAAGATAATATACAACCAGATGTCAAAACTCAGAAATTACATATATTTTCCTCTTTCCTCACAACACTTATTCTTAAACACCTTATATATATTTTTTTCTTTTCTAAAACCTCTCATACCAATCTCTATTTATAGAGTTTTCAAATTCAATTCTTTATTTTACAAATATTCTCCAACTTACTGTTAAGAGTTACCATATAAGTCTTCAAGCCTCTAAAATAGTTTGCCTAACTTTTTTCCCAAATCTTCAACCTTTTTTCAAAGTATTCTGGCTTCCAAAATTGATTAGGAAGTTATTTATCGCACATATCAGGCAAGCTCAACCGATTCAGCTAAAACGTAACTGATTCAACTAAAGCACAGCAGGTTCCAATTCTTAAACCATTGATCCAACCATTCTGCCCAAACGTAACTTGTTCCGCTAAAATGCGACCTATTCCGCTTGTCCAAAATATAATTCTCCACCCTAATTTGAGCCACAACTCTAACCATCTCCACCTTGGCTCAAAATTTTAAGACCTGCACTAAATCCTAATCTAATCCAAATCTTATTCTAAACACGGTGAGCCTTGCACTTATTTGACCTGAAATTGGCTACTCTGCTTGCTTGACACAAGTATGATTTCACCTTCCACAAACCACTTCACTATTTAGGACATTAATAATAGAAAGGATATTAGGTGAATCGAGCACTCCATGTCATTAGTATTCTCATCAAATCAATATGCACATTTAATAAGGTTAATTCATTAAATTATGTATTATGATTGACAGATATACTAATGACAAAGCATAATATCTACTACTAATCATAGGAAAAAAACAAATTCAAAATCTTCATATACAAGCTTATATTTTACCAAATCCTATGATGAAATACACTTTATTAATTTGGTTCTTGACTATCAAAAAGTTGCTTTTGAAAAAATGTGGTCACTATTTTTATTTATTTATTTAATTGTGTACCGTCTGCGTGGTCGTGGGTGTGTGAGAGAGAGAGGATTGCAAAACTATAATGTACATGTAATTATTATGGTTTTTGATAATAATAATAATAATAAAAAGATTTATTTTGTAAAACAAGTATAAGAAAAGAAAGGAGTGGGAAAAAAAAAGTGAGAAGGGAACAGAGAGAGTCAGAGAAGTAATGAATAAATGGGGCCCATCCACTTAAAGAATGGACATGATAAGAGAGGGGAGGACAAGGAGAATCCAGAGGCCCATGAGAGATGAGGAGACAGAGAGGACAATTATCGTCGGTGATGCGAACCCTGGCCAACCAACATACCATCATGGCTTGGATGTGGAGAGTGTGGAGACCCCCCCATTCTCCCTCTCCATTTCAACACCAAGTCCCTGGGCTAGCTTCATTGGGCTTTGCCTAACCATGCCAAGACACTCCATGACCCAATTGCCTCCCCCCAAAAACAAATTACACCCACTCCAAACATTTCCTCTATTTTCAAATCAAAATGGCCATTTACTCAAAATTTTGTATGCATATATACACACACACACATGTCATTGATGACGTATTGGACTAATGATAGAGAGTTTGACAGTTGGACAAATCACGTTAATTTTATATGAGTAGAGAATGATGTTATTACGATGTTTGAAATATTAATGATATCATAATAATGACGTCAACCCCCACTCTTATAAATCAGTTAGAGTTGTCCAATTTTCAGATTCTAAATCATTATTCAAGTAACTTTTTATGAGATGGTAGAAAGCTTTGCAATGGTCTTTTATCTTCCCTATTTTTCTCCTGTCCACTTCAGTCCTTGTGACCTTCCATCTCAATTGTGTTATTATCATTAATTCATATTTGATTATTAGAGTTAATATTTCTCTACTCATTTAACATATTGGATCAGATTTGAATTAGAATCAAAACAATTATAGTGTAGGACTATGCAGTGGTCTTCTAGATCTGCTTTGTCTTTCTCTACTTCTCTCCCATCAAGCTCACTTTGTGTGACCTTCCACGTCAATCGTGTTAATATCATTAATTTATATTTAATTATTAGATAATATATTTCTCTTCGTATTCAACTTATCGAATTGAATTTGAATTGGATTCAAATCTGAATGAAAATAAATTTTTAGTTGTTAAAGAAAATATTTCTCAACGTATTCAACTTATTGAATTAGATTTGGATAGAATGGAATCAGAATCAAAATAAATTAATAATTAACAGGCCTGTAATGAAGATTCAGAGTCATAGTAGAGTTATTGTATAACAGTTGAATTGGAGGATCAAATTCCAAACAACTAATTGCTGACTCGCTTGAGGAAGATTGAGAGTAGTCAATACCTACAAACACGGATACGGTGGCGATTCGTGTTGGCATGTTATAATTGTGTTGTGTCAATTTAAGTATATTTTATTGAATAATTTAATCTAAACACAACTCGTTTAATATTCATGTCAAAAATTCTTAGACTAACCCGATCTGTTTATTAAATGAATTACACGTATAAAATAAAAAATTATATTATTTAAATTATTAATAAATGCTTAAAAAATATAAATTTCAATTCAACCAAATTATTAAATAGTCTCTATTCTACAAATATATATATATATATATATATATATATATATATATATATATATAAAACACAAATTTAAATAGTTATTTTGAAACTTAAATATAAATTTATTTATTAAACATACAATTAAACATATATAAATGATTTACATGGGTTGAATCATTTCAATTCAAATATGATACGATTAATTAATCAGGTTAATCATGTTGATTCGTTAATGACATGAACACATTTAAAGTCAACTCAAATTCATTTAATTGTATTGTATTCAAATTGTGTTGACGGGTCATGTCACCCTTTGTTGCCCTTACCAACAGGAGAGTTATTGTGGACATTGAAATATCATTTATTATAATTAACTAAAATCCTGTCCAGTGAACCTGTACTTATGATTCATTAACGACAACACTTTATTGCGAGTATACTTTAAGAGGATGAATTATCTTGAGTACAGGAGAATGTCTCCACAAGAGAGAGAGAGAGTGTGTCGGTTGTATATTTCTGTAGTTTTATTAAATAATATTTTCACTGTGAAGAAAGTATTGATTAAGATTTTTTTTTTAAAATATAATCTAAAATTGGGTTGCATGTCCAAGTTAAGCATTAACAATCATAAATGCGATGAAACCAAAAAGCAAAAAAATGATAAATCCCAACTTACTAAGAAAAATTAATGATGTACTATATCTAATCAGATTCTTCCTAATAAAGTATCTGATATAGTAGCATTGATATATCCAACAACATTCCTCACTAGTATCAATTATATATATATATATATCTATATAAGTCCCTACTCATTCACAAGGGTCCCAAAAACAAAGCAAATTGTTTGATCACTGTCTCCTCTCACTCAACTCATGCATGCACACGACACACCCACAAGCTCAAAGTAAAATCCTTTTCTTTTCTCTTCAAGGTGTGAGTGATTCTTATTCTACCAACTTCTTTGACTCTTGATTTGGATTTTCTAAATAGCTCTTTAACTGGTGCTCTTCATCACCCTTATCTGATCATATCCTGTGTTTTAACTTTCTTCTTCGCCATTAATTTTGATGTAACATGTTCTTTATTTCCATCCATTCATTTAAATAACTAATCATTTCATAACTACTTTCGTGACATGGAGTTTCTCCATTCCATTCTCACTCTTATCTATTGTGATAATAGAAGTGCAATTCAAATTGCACACAATGATATGTTTTTATGAGCGTACCAAACACGAAATAGCATGTCCTCACCAAATCACCTTCCCTCGTTTCAAGATTTTTATTTTCAAATTCAAGATGACTTCATATAACCCACCTTGAGTTTGAGGGGACTGTTAGAATATATTGTATAGAATTACTATATATATAGTTATCATATATATGTAGGGTTTACTTGTTCATCACACATAATCCCTCTATATAAACTATAAACTATAGGGTTTACTTGTTCATCACACATAATCTCTCTATATAACTCCTCTTGTATATCATTTCAGACTATAATAATATAATACAGAGTTATACTCTCTCTTTGGTCCGACCAATTACTATTTTGACATATAAATAAAAAATGAAATTAAATTAATATACAGCTGAATTTGTTTATGTGTCAATGTGCACACAATTAGCACATAATTAACCGAGATTAATGATCTGAATCATATAATAATTTCACATGCTAAGGGGAAAGCTCTGTACTCCATATTGTTATTAACTGTACATATTAATTATGTGAACCTGGAAGTGGAAGTGGCAGACATGGAAGTAATCAAGTATACATATACATATATCATATAGCATAATAAAATAATAAATACATGATACACGTACACACACTCCTAGTCACATATGTCTAAGATTTTGGGGACACCGAATATATATAATTTTGACGAATATTTTTATATGTGAACCTAATTATGAAGGAGGGGAATATAATAGTGATCACTTTCTATTATTTCCCTGATTTTGGGAATTGGGTGATTGAATGACCATTACTTTATATATATATATATATATATGTTGGAGATTTTCATTAACAATGTTATTTTGATTTTTACGATAATTTGTATAAGTTGTGAATATTCATTAAAAACGGTATTTTGAATTTTATTATTATTTGTAATCTCAAACTAAAGTTTTAATTAATTCAAGAAGGGGACAGAAAATTAGTTGAGAATTATACCATGCTTTTGACTCATTTTTCTAAAAAGATAATTTAACATTTGAGAGCTAATATTAACACTTCATAATTATAATCTGGCACCGCACCTTCTTATTTTAGTAAATACAATAATCAAACTAACCTATTCCCCTCTTAGTATTCAATGTGTGCTGTGAAAGTTCTCCGACTCTTTGTCTTCTTGTGTTGTGATTTGTTCAAAATTTTTTTTTTTAATGGAAAACTCTCTCTATCTTATTGTTAAAACTTAACTTCATTTTAGTATTAAAAATATCAAATCAATAGAAAATAAATTGAGTTGTAGGCTTGCTGTTAAAGAAAATAAAAAAAAAAATCTTCGAAATTCTCATTTATTTTCTAGTAATATTTCTTTCTACGGTGTGTGATTTTTAAAAAGATTAAATTTATATCCAAATTCAATACCCACAATAAGTAAAATGCAAGAAGAAGTGTGATGAAACAGCAATCATGGAGACCACTCCAACGTCTTGTTATGAATTTTTTATTTGGTAGTCTAAAATTATGCTCATTTACATTAAAGGGTTCGACTTTTTGGGAATATATCCATATATGGTCCGATAATTTGATGCATGTGATGATTTGGGATAATATTTTTGCACTTCACATACACTTGAAACATGGAATCGTTTGAGTCTAAATTTTTTACACAATATATATATATGTGTCTGATTCTTATAACTCAAAATATTTTCTATGTGATTCAATACTTTCTAAAACTGAGATTAAGTTAAGTTTTAGCAAGAGGAGAAAGAGAATTTTCAATTAAAGAAAAAACGAAAAAAGAGAGTAAACAAATCAAAAAAAAAAAAAAAAAAAAAAAGCAATGGAGGAGAACTGTTACCGCTGACATTGAATACCAAGAAGATAGTTTGGTCATTAGATTTGCTAAAATAAAAAGGTGGAGCTCCTAACATTTTAAAGCACCGAATTCTCATTCGAATCCGATTCGATTATTCAGATATGAATTGAACAAAAAAATTCGATAATTTGGTTATGATTCGAATCCAATAATCTAATTTCTTAACAAATTTATACTGATATGATTAAATTTATTTATATGTATATAATAATAATAATAATAATATTTATTATATATATACAATATTCCTATCAGATTTATATTAAATGTAACAAAAAAAAAAAAAAAATCATAATCTTGTATGTATAATAGTGTGGTGTTCTCACACACATACTAATAAATATCTCAATATACAAATCAAGTAAAATACTTATTGAATTCGGATCAAATCAGACCAGGTCTGATTCAAATTCGATCCGCTGACAAATCTACCATAGTGTAATGGCTCTTCTTAGAAATTGTTAACTCATTTAAATAATATTTCAACACATTTCTTTTACACATAGGCAATAATACCTCTCTCTCAAAAAGTAAAATCAGCTCGTGCAAAAATATACATACATATATATATATATATATTAGATTTGAAAATTGTGAAGAGTCATTTTTATCAATAAATATTATTATTTTATTATGGTATCTTTGCCGCTGCGTCCTATTTTTTCTTTTCTTATAAATTTATATAGGAAGTTGAAGAGTGAGGGAGAGGGTGAGTAATCACTTAAAGAAAAAAAAGAAGAGGGTTTGTTTGACCGGGTTAAGATGGTACCATTCTTAACCTATCTTAACCAATGAATTATATGGGTATTTATTTTTTATTTATTATTGACCTACTCATTTCATTTTAAGTGTCTAAATAATTTAATTTTAGTAGACGAACTTAGTCGGTTTAATTGGCTTGGACTTAAATTACTACCCCTAATCTAAGTATATGACAGGGTACATTTTAACTAATCTGACCGTCCTATCCGGATTAGTCTGCGCTTTCATCGACCCACTGACTCAAACCCAGGTCAGGCCCAGTTTCATTTTCTATAAACCAACTTAATAAGTCTCATATGTGGTTGGTAGGCCCAATTTTAAGGGCAAGCCTACAGGCCCAATTTCAGAGAGGCCCACATTCCCATTCAGAGGGTCAGGGACTCAGGCTTAGCTCGATCCGGAATGTACAATGTAACATATGGAGTATTGAAAATTAAAAATTAAATTAGAAGAAAATTAAAAACAACGAGAGTTTGGTATCGCGAAAATCTCAGATCCACACTAACCTCAAATTGTTCTCTCTCTCTAAGAAATGCTCCAGATCTCTTCAAAAATCATAATTTTTTCTACTTGATCGAGTCTTTCAAGAGTTGTATATATATACATATATCGAATATGTATATTGCATATGGATGGCCTCAAGTGATCCCTCTCGAATCTGGTCTCTGTCCTGCTTCTCAGCAGATCATCTACCTCAAAGTCATCAATCGCTTATTGCTCGTCGTTGCCCCTTCTCATTTCGAGCTATGGAGCTCTTCTCAGGTTTTCACCTCTCCCTCTCTCTCTCTCTATATATGTATATATAGTGTATTTATATATTCAAAGATTAGTTATTGATCGGTGTTAGTGCATTTTGGCTGACTTGAATTTTGACGTTTCTAAAAAATTATCTTAATTTTGGGTTTTTTATTTTATTTTTACTTTGATTCAGCACAAAGTGAGATTGGGGAAGTACAAGAGAGATTCGGATTCGATTCAAAGGGAGGGCGAGAATTTGCAGGCTGTTTGGAGTCCAGATACCAAATTGGTCGCCATTCTTGTAAGTTTGGGATCGGTGGATTCTGCATTGCAGTCATACGTGTTAATGCCTTATATGTACTTAGTTGTTTATGTCTTAAAAATGTAGTCTTTTTTCCTTTTTATTTGTGGATTGTGATACTTTGTTTTGTTTTTTTTGATAAGTGTGAATTGTGATAGTTCTTGTGGAGGTATGTAGATTCATTTTGAAAGTAGAGGTATGCTTAGTAGCAGAAATGAACCGTACGACCCATTAAATGGTAAAAATGGATGGAGATAATTGATTCTTGTTATTGAAAAGACAGTCTTGTGTACTTTCAATTTAGCTTGGGAAAGATGGCTGAAACTATATAGTGAGTTTTAAGTCCTAAAATTAGTGAGAACTAGGAGTTTAAGCCACCAGGTTGCTGCTTCTTCTCAGGCTGCTATGCTGTAATTTTATTACTTTATGCAACAAATGTTGTTTACCTGAAAGACTATTCTTGTGGCATATCATGGCAAGAAAGATTTATGATGATGCTTGTGATATCGGAATTGAATGCACTTCAATTTTTAAGATAATTTAATTTCTGAGATATCAAGTGCTAGAACAATGTACCAACTAGGTAAAAAAGTGTTAAAACAATGCCCTTATTGTTTTCTTTGCTCTTTTGGCAGACCTCTTCTTTCTATCTTCACATTTTTAAGATCCAGTTCACGGGAAAAAGAATACAAATTGGAGGGAAGCAACCATCTGGTTTGTTTCTCGCTACTATATCTCTACTTCTGAACGAGCAGGTGCCTTTTGCTAGCAAGGACTTGGCTATGTAAGTACCCATTCTGACCACCCTATTGAAAATTATAAACGTTGATGTCAGATACAACACTCAATTCTCTTGCATAGAGGAACAATGCTTTGGACACATCTTCACTCCAAATGTAATATAGTCAGTGGGTAATGGGGTCAGTTAGAGTGAAGATGTGTTCAATCTTGTCAAAATGCATTCACATGCAAGTGCCACTTTGGTTTGAGATTTGCATGTGAATGCATCTTGATGAAATTGAACACATCTTCACTCCAACTCACCCCATTACCCACCGACTATATTACATTTAAGCTAATTTGGTTGTTGAGCGGATATGATTGTGATATAGTCAGTGGGTAATGGGGTCTGTTGGAGTGGAGATGTGCTCAATTTCATCAAAATGCATTCATATGGTCTGCATTTTGACGAAATTGAACACATCTTACTCCAAACCCCATTTGGTTTGAGATTTGCATGTGAATGCATCTTGATGAAATTGAACACATCTTCACTGCAACTCACCCCATTACCCACTGACTATATTACATTTAAGCTAATTTTGTTGTTGAGCGGATATGATCGTGATATAGTCAGTGGGTAATGGGGTCAGTTGGAGTGGAGATGTGCTCAATTTCATCAAAATGCATTCATATGGTCTGCATTTTGATGAAATTGAACACATCTTACTCCAGACCCCATTACCCACTGACTATATTACATTTAAGCTAATTTGGTTGTTGAGCAGATATGATCCTTCATATGATGTTCACGTGACCACAATATATAGAGTAATCCAACAATAATTGCCACCAAACAAACAGAAAATATATATCAAATGTTTGGTCCAAGAGTGTAATTGTATGTGTTCTTGTCCCCCTTCAATTGTATTAAGTTCAATGTCGTTGAGCACAACTTGTCTTTTGGAGATTAATTTGGTCCTCCAAAGTTTCTCATGTGGTCAAAGCATTTACTTAAATTATGGCTGATGGTAAGGCAAATACTTTCAACATGCTTCAAAAAGGAAGAGTCTTTTTAAAGCTTCTCCTTGAACATGCGTATGCATTTCTAATATGGATCATGAAATAGTTAGCCATTTACCTATCGATTGCTCCTTTAATACAAGCTTCTGCAAAAGCTATTTGCTTTTTGAATTCCAATGTTAGTGCTTCTGGTCATTCCTCCTCTCTCCTTGAGTTTTCTCTTCTTTTGTTTTTTCATTCTCTGGGGTTTGATTGGAGTCCTTAACTCATGAATTCAACAAGTTAATCACTCAGTTATGAATCTGGCAGCTTAAATATTATTATGATGACATAAAAGTTTCCAATTCGGTGTCAGTTCTGTTTATAAACATATTGAAAAATCTCATATATTATGAAGTTGTGACTCACGGCATTTTTAGCTAGATTTGTCTTATTGTTGCATTTATTGTTGAAGTATATGAAATATAACTTTCTTATATTGTTACCTTTTAGCTTATTGGCTTTTGATCTCAAATCTTTTTTAATAGTGTGTTCTTTTTTTTGGTGACCAGAAGCAATATTATTTGCGATAACAAACATATGCTAGTTGGATTGTCAGATGGATCTTTGTATAACGTATCTTGGAAGGGAGAGGTAATGCAAATATGGTGTGCGCTAGCAGTTTCGAACAGTTTTCTAAATGCATCAAAGTGATGTTGAACTCCTTTTTATCATAGGAGTTTTGATTAACATTTTTCTTCAGAACTACTCAAATGAAAATGGATATATATATGTGTGTGTGTGTGTGTTTTGATTGGTAAAAATGGATATATTTTGTTTATAAGATAACCAAAACATTTTTATTATGGTTCACTACAGTTCTTTGGGGCCTTTGAACTTGACTTTCACCCACAAGACAACATTGAAGGCGCTAAATTATCACTTTCTCTAGACAATGGTCTTGCTTCAGCTGGGGCTCAAGGAGTTTTTAAGCCGGATCATTATTTGTCCCAAAGGTCTGCTGTTATCCAGCTGGAGTTTTCCTTACCATTGAGGTTGCTATTTGTGCTATTCTCTGATGGACAACTGGTGTTATGTACCACAAGCAAGAAAGGTTTAAAGCAAGCTGAGTCTATTAAAGCTGAAAAGAAGTTGGGTTCTGGTGATGCTGTATGTGCTTCAGTAGCCTCTGAGCAACAAATCATCGCTGTTGGTACCAGAAGGGGTGTTGTTGAGTTATATGACCTTGCAGAATCTGTGTCACTTATTCGTTCCGTATCTTTGTATGACTGGGGGTAAGCTTTATCACTTATCAGCGAAGATAGGAAGGCAGTGGCATAACTGACTTCATTTCTGATAGTTATATTCTGCCGTAGTTCTTCCTGCCAAGGGTCCTGATATTTTAGTTCTTCTATCTTGAACACCTCTTTATGCATACCCTTTTCTCCTACCAATAAATTCTTTACTTTAAGAAGAATGTTTTTGGCCTTTATTCTTCCCACTTTGACGTTTAATCCTCTTCTAAAGTCCTTTAGATACGTTTCTCACTTTTGCATTTAAAGTCCGTGACTTCGTGGTTGGTTTTATGAGACATTTCACCCACTTGATTGATGATTTTTACAAAGTATATATGTTTTGTAGTTCATGACATGAAGTTATTTTTGTATATTATTATGGATTTGGATTTTGAAATTTGTCATGAATGACTTGAATGTTATCTCATGGTTTTTTGCAGATATTCAATGGATGACACTGGTGCTGTGAGTTGTATTGCATGGACGCCTGATAATTCTGCTTTTGCAGTTGGGTGGAAGTTAAGAGGACTCACAGTTTGGTCCGTTTCTGGGTGTCGCTTGATGTCTACAATTCGGCAGATTGGTTTAAGTTCTGTATCTTCTCCAATGGTTAAACCAAACCTGGATTGCAAGTATGAACCTATGATGGGTGGCACCTCACTGTTGCAGTGGGATGAATATGGATATAGGCTTTATGCTATTGAGGAACGATCTTCAGAGAGAATAATTGCATTTTCTTTTGGAAAATGTTGCCTTAACAGAGGAGTTTCAGGCACAACGTATGTCCGCCAAGTTATCTACGGTGAAGATCGCTTGCTTGTCGTACAATCTGAAGAAACTGATGAGCTTAAACTTTTGCATCTTAATCTTCCAGTTATGTGTTTAATTGAATCATGATGATGGATTGTCCTCATTTTGTTCTTGTGCAATAAGGATGGTGCTGATATAGTTTTGCTTTGGGCCAGGTTTCATATATTTCTCAAAATTGGCCAGTTCTACATGTGGCTGCCAGCAAGGATGGGATGTACTTGGCTGTTGCTGGTCTTCATGGATTAATATTATATGATATACGGTTAAAAAAGTGGCGAGTTTTTGGAGATATTACCCAGGAGCAAAAAATTGAGTGCAAAGGCTTGTTATGGCTGGGGAAGATTGTTGTTGTCTGCAACTACATCAATGCTTCTAACATGTGAGTAAATTGTGTACATCCAGATCTTGATTTTTCATATATAAATGTAACTAATGTATCTCCTTCGTAAAGATTTTCACCATAATGATCATGAACAGTTGCTCCTGGGGTAGCCCCCTTAACTATTAAGGGGGTTAATAGAACGTTTTACGTGTTCTGTTTATTTAATTCTTCCATGCCCGATTTGAACTCCATAAATGTTGGTAATTGAAAATATTCTTATGTTTTCAACTTATCTACACGCTTGATATATTGTTGCAGCCTTGGTGATTATAGGTAACACTCTTGCTGGATCCTTGCTGGTTGGCTGGCATTCACATAATGTACTTTTTGCTGATAATTTCCATTGTATTGTCACAGCTAGTTGTCCCTCAATTACATTTTTTAGCAGTCTTTTGTGTGAGATGAGACTAGCTAACGAGTAGAATTTTTCAGTCAGGCAACTACTTTTAATTTAGATTCTCCTGGTAAAATACCATTGTGGAATGGAGTAGAAGAATGATTGAAAATTTGAAACATTAATTGAAAAATGTGTAAGAAATGTGACGGAAAAAAGAGAGTAACAAATCCCTTGACCTATCTAATTTTAAGACATTAAATTTATTATTAATATCTTGAGCTGTTGATTGGGTTAAGACTTACAGACACTCGGGATGTCAACGACTTTGACTGGGATTCAATATTTATGTTTTCAGATCTGACCTGATATCTGATTTTCCGTGACATATATTAAGTCAAGGTATTGCTCAGGGAAAAAAAGAAAAGAAAAGAAGAAGAAAAAGAAAAACAGAACCATACATGTACATTGATTATCTTTTACTAAATTCCAAGTTCTGTTAAATTATATATCTCATGTAAAAACTATATTCATTAATTTCTTTGAAAAGAGAAATAGAAAGAATTTTTTTGAAGCATAATCGATTTTGAACGTTACAGTAAACCATGTTTATCGTGGGTTAATATTGAAAGTAAAATAATCATTGGGTTGATTGGATATTAAATGGAATTTAATTGTGGTTTATCTAGATTTGATCTATCATTATTGTTAGTGTTGGATTCGATATTCATTGTATATGAAGTAGGATCTTATGGAATTTGTAGTTTTGGAAGGAAAACGATAAACTTGACGATTGGGGTTTTGCTACCGACTAATGTGTCAATTAATGATTGAGTTAAACACTGAGGAGAGAGATTCAATTCTTTTTAAATGCTGACGAGAGTCCTTGTTGGACTCTATATTGGAGTTGCTAGATCAGTTTTCGTAGCATTACTCTTTTTGGAATTAAAGTTGGATAAGTATCTGAACGTTAGCCTTATCTACAACGTTTCATTTAAGGAAAGGTTGTGGTCTTCTATTTGTTTTCTAAATCTTCTGGTTCAAACTTCTTGACTACATTTAAGAACTTTATATCTATTTGAGCTTACCCAAGAACAGTGTTGTCAAAGGTTCGCCTGGGCGCTAGGCCCAGGTTCATACAGACGCAACACTTGCATCTGTTGTGTGCCCAAATGCGCCTTTGACAACACTTGCGCCTTTAATATGAAATATGAATGCTTTAGTAGTAATTTAATTTTTCAATTGTGTGCCTTGCTTCACTCAGGCGCCTCTCCCTGCGTCTAGGCTCCAAAGGACCTCTAGCGCCTTAGTGCGCCTTGGGCCTTTGATAACACTGCCCGAGAAGGATATTCCATCTTGGAAATGGTGCCTGTCATAGTTTAATCTATATAGTTTAATTTAATAGATAATGTTAAGCTGCAGTTTGAGTAGTCCTAGTTTATCTGTTGTTTCTAGTAATCCCAATTCTGTTAACAGTTTTGTATTATGTGCTTAATTTTGTAGCTCTTTAATCTATATTGGTTAAAATGGTTAGTTAATCCATTGCAGGTACGAACTGCTTTTCTATCCAAGATACCACCTTGATCAGAGTTCGCTACTTTATAGGAAAGCATTGATTGGAAAGCCAATGGTTATGGATGTCTATCAGGATTACATTCTTGTCACTTATCGCCCATTTGATGTCCATATATTCCATGTGAAATTATCTGGTGAATTGACGCCATCTGGTGCTGTGGATTTACAGGTAAAGGAGACAACCAGACCTTCCCCTTCTCTCATGTGACTTCATTAGAATTTTTGAGTTTCGAGTTACCCTCTGAACAAGTGTTCTGTAATGAATAATTATTCTTCATGCATTTTTAAGTGATAAAATGACAAACAGCTTTCTACAGTACGAGAGCTCTCAATCATGACTGCGAAAAGCGATCCTGCTGCGATGCGTTTTATCCCTGATCAGCTTCCAAGAGAGAATATCTCAATGAATCATATCTCAACTTCATCTGATTTGTTAGCCAAAGAGCCTGCTAGGTATGTGCTTATCCTTCCAAAATGGTAAATAGAGATATCTGTGTACCACATGTTACTAAATGAATGGTTACTTTGTTAGATGTCTGATTTTGCGAGTGAATGGGGAGCTATCGCTACTCGATTTGGATGATGGGCGGGAAAGAGAGCTCACCGACTCTGTTGAATTGTTCTGGGTTACCTGTGGTCAATCAGAGGAGAAAACAAACTTAATTGAGGAAGTTTCATGGTTAGATTATGGCCACCGAGGAATGCAGGTAACAGTTTTCTTTAACATTTACATTCTTTACTTCTAGTGAATCATTCTATTTTACTCATCTAATATAGAATCTGGTTGGAAGCTCATCATTACAGGTTTGGTATCCATCTCCTGGTGTTGACCCTTTTAAGCAGGAAGATTTCTTGCAGGTACATATGCATCCAGAAGTTAAAGCAATTTGTATTTTGGCTTTAAGCTGGATTCTTGTAACCAATATATATTTGTAATTTGTGTAACTTGTTTTGTCATATGTGTCTGTTTATATTATTTAATAATGTAGTGGTTTTTATATTTCTTCAATACGTTATCATTTAGATGGCAGAGGAAATAAATTAACTGTTTTTGGTGTATCTAGATATCATCTTGGTGTCCATTTAAAAGGTGTGATTAGTTGGCTTCATCTCTTATCATCATCTGACATAGTGGCTTGACATCTTCCAGTATCTGCACTTCTTACTATTGATGCAATATGTTTCTAAATGTTTGAATCAATACATGAACTTCTTTTCCTACAGGATTTCTTAAGTTGTGAGATAGACTTGGTCTTTATAGTTATGGCATTGTATTTGTAAAATTGTATTTGCTGGACAGTAGCTCTTTATAGTTATGGTTTTCTATTTGTGGTTTTATATTTGCTGGACAGTAGGTCTGATCTCATTATTTGGTTAATGTAATCTGAAATGGTTAACTTGATATTATTCTTTAGTTGGATCCTGAGTTGGAATTTGATAGGGAGGTATATCCTCTTGGTCTTCTTCCAAATGCTGGAGTAGTCGTCGGTGTTTCCCAGAGAATGTCGTTTTCAGGGTGCACTGAGTTTCCATGCTTTGAGCCGTCTCCTCAAGCTCAAACTATATTGCATTGCCTACTCCGACACCTTCTTCAGGTATCAGTTGGTCCCCCGTTTTTTATCATGCCTTAAACATCTTTTCAACTCAACATTTATGTAAAACAAATCTTGCTAAAACTGCTGCATATTATAAAAAAATTGTTAATATTTCACCATTTATGAGAGTTAGCTGAACCAGATTTACTTGGTGTGAGTTTCAGTCTATAGTCATGGCATTTTCCAGTCATCTTTTGTAATGAAAGAAAATAACTTGATTACAGAATAATTGCTTTATTTCGGTTTCTACTTTTTCTTGAGGATTTTTCTTTTGGATTATTGTTCACCAGAGGGATAAGAGTGAAGAAGCTTTACGGTTGGCACAATTATCGGCAGAAAAGCCTCATTTTTCACATTGCATGGAGTGGCTACTTTTTACCGTATTTGATGCTGATATTTCCAGGTAATTCTAATATATCAAAGGAACTTTTGCAATCTCTGCATGACTCAAATTTATCATTCTTTCGATGTTGATCGGTATCTATCTAAATCTCTGTTAACTGCTTTCTTGCAGGCAGAACGCAAACAAAAACCAGATATGTGTCCCAAAGCATGCTACCAGCTCCTCTCTTTTGGAGAAGACCTGTGATTTGATCAGAAATTTTCCCGAGTATTTTGATGTGGTTGTTAGTGTTGCAAGAAAAACCGATGGTCGACATTGGGCGGATTTGTTTTCTGCTGCCGGAAGATCAACTGAGTACCTAATCTCTCTCTATCTGTGTGTGTGTGTGTGTGTTGTCCACTTCGAAGTGCATACTTAGAAACCTATATAATGATGACCAGTGTCACTGTGTCAGAGTTAAATGGTTTTTCGGTCACTGATTATGGTTTTTATGGCAATTAAGCGGACGCAACTTGTTTTTCCAAATGATAAAAAAACAGGAGATTTTCCAACTAATTGTATTACAGTGGAAGCATCACAAGTCCTATTTTATTGCAGCTTGGGTAATACTTGTTTTAAGGGGGAATGTTCCTTTTTTTTTTTTTTTTTTTTTTTTCTCCGGCAAGGTATATAAAAATTTGAGGGGCAATGCTTTTTCCAGAATGTTCCAAATTTGTTAAATAAGATTGCTTTCGTTTTTTCAGAAATTGGCCTTATTTGAGGGGGAAATGTTTGAATAAAGTTTTCATTTATTTTTTGTGTGGATGATATTACTTTGTGTGGGGCCATTGCTTAGTGTAATGGTAAAAGCTCTACCATCTAGCGTGAGAGCACCAGATTGTGATCTTCAAGTGAAGCTTTTGTTTTAGATTAGACTCTTGATAGATTTTGGTTCATGACTTTGCAAATGGCCTTTGGTGTGAGCTAATCTTATAGTGATTGCGATTTGAAGAAATATGAATTTCAGCATTTTTTTTTCCTTTGGAAATCCGGTCTTGAAAAAGAATTTAAATGTCTATTATGCTCTAATGGAATACATTCCTGTTGGTTTTTCATCACGATTTGAACTGTTTCTATTTTCTAGGTTGTTTGAGGAATGTTTCCAACAAAGATGGTACCGAACTGCAGCTTGCTACATACTTGTAAGTATTATAGTCATCTATTGCAGTCATCTTCATTGAATATACTTTTAAGCTTTTGATTTTGAGGAACATATAAAGTTAAATTGGTTTTTCCTTTCTCTTTTTTAATTTAAAAAACAAAAAGAATCTTTACCCTAACTTTAGCTGTTAAGCCTAGTTAGAATTTTTATTCAGAATTTATGTAGCTTTACTATTAACACATGGCATTGTTATGGTAACTTATTGTATCAATACACGGTTCAACTGCCAACCAAACTGATTTTATTCCCAGATTGTCTCTTCTATCAGTAACTCTCCAAGGACATTTAGTTGGTGATATAAGTATGTCTTGTGATTGTATCTCTGTGGCAGTTAAAAAGAAAATTAAACATGACCGTTGTAATCATTACGCGTTAGTTCTCCAGTTATCTTAGTTATGCTGTGCAATTACTAATTTTTCCTCTGGCTATCTTCATGTCAAACTGGTGTCATGAAAACTATTTGCCAAGTCTCCAATCCTTTATGCTAAATGGTAAGACCGATCTTCTTGTACTGTGATGCCACAGGTGATTGCTAAACTTGAGGGTCCTGCTGTGAGTCAATACTGCGCTTTACGTTTATTACAGGTGAAATACCTGTCTGGTTTTCCTTTTTGTTTTTAGGTCTTAATTCTTTTGTAAATTACATCTGACAATGATTTTCAACATTGCGCAGGCAACGCTTGATGAGTCTTTGTACGAACTTGCTGGGGAGCTTGTATGAGTTTTGATATAACTTTTTGCTATTTTTTTTTTTGTAGGATGTTCTTGCTTTCAGCTGTTCACTGGTATTAATAACGGTTTCTCCACCTCTCTCTCTCTCTCTCTCTCTCTCTCTCTCTCTCTCTCTCTCTCTCTCTCTCTCAGGTGAGGTTTCTCCTGAGGTCTGGAAGGGAATATGAGCCTGCTTCTCCGGATTCAGAGAAACTATCTCCCAGGTTTTTGGGATATTTTCTTTTCCCTTCTAGTAACAGGAGCAAGTCTTTGGACCCAAAAAGGTAAATGCACCCTTCCATAAAGTAACTTGCATGTCATGGGTATTTGCAACTTTTACATTCCAAATGATATTAAGCAGACACTTCTGTTTTCTTGGAGCAGTAACTCGTTCAAAGAGCACGGTGCACATGTTGCTTCTGTTAAGAACATCCTCGAAAACCATGCTAGCTATTTAATGTCAGAGAAAGAACTTTCCAAGCTTGTTGCATTTGTAAAAGGCACTCAATTTGATATAGTGGTAAGATAAAATATTGTATTTGGTTCAGTATAAGTATTGGCTGTTATTCAGTTATCTTAGGTTATATGCTACAATCTTGCAGGAATATCTTCAGCGAGAAAGATATGGAAGTGCTCGATTGGAAAATTTTGCTTCGGGACTTGAATTAATTGGGAAGAAGGTATCAACATCTAGAAATATTTTGTTGAGTACTTAATATTCTTAAAATTGATTTCATTTTAGATTTGGATCATTTTTGTGCTGCTCAACTATGACACTTTTATATCTGTGTCACCTACCATCTAGTCCAAAAGCTTAAGCTGTTAGAGAGGGTGTAACTTTAATATTTATATCCTTTCTATGAAGTTGCAGAAATGATTTTATGACTTGTTTATTTCTTTGTGCAGCTAAAACTTCGTTAAATCTACATCATTTGATGAAGAATTTCCTTTTCTGGGGCTGTTCTTGTTGTATAATATAATATTTATGTGTGCTTCTAAAAACATATAATTTTTTCAAAAAAAATAAATATAAAGGAAATAAAAAGGACCAAATGGACTCTTGTGAAATATCTAATTTATGACCTAAATCTTGCGAGGCATGGCAGTTAATTAACATGCTCGAAAGAAATGCTAAAGTGCTCTGAGTATCATAATGGAAAACATGAATTGTATTGGACGTGTATTAAGATATACACAATAATTATGGAAGAAAACACAGAAGAAAAGGAAAATAGAAAAGTGATACCTGTGCGGAAGTGTAATGATTCTCTTTGAGGTTGCAATGTTCTAAGAAATTCTTAGAATGTTTGGGGAGAAAGAAGTTTTGACTATTACTTATTTCACATTACTCGAGTGATGCCTTGTTTTCTTGTATGTTTACAGCTTCAAATGAGTACATTGCAGAGTCGGTTGGACGCAGATTTTCTTTTGGCTCACATGTGCTCTGTCAAGTTTAAAGAGTGGATAGTTGTATTGGCCACTCTTTTAAGGCGATCTGAGGTATAATTGCCACTGAAAGTTTTATAAAAAGGGAAGTAAAAACAACACGTTCTTTACTTCTGTAATGGGATCCATGGCATAATATGATGAATGGATTATTTTGTTGACGTGTAGCTTTTTCTGGTGAAATCCTGAACAGGTTCTCTTTGATCTATTTCGGCATGATATGCGGTTATGGAAAGCTTATAGCATAACTCTTCAGGTATTTGTTTCTTAAAGCTTACTGGTTACAGTGCCAATTCATATATATGTCTCACCATTCTTTCTTGATGCACAACTTTCAGTCGCATCCAGCATTCGCTGAATACCATGATTTGCTTGAAGCCCTGGAAGAGAGACTCTCAGCTACAGCTAGTTTGGAAGAGAAATGAGGGAAACTAAATTGTCCAACACTTGGTTCAGTTTGGCAACAGATTTTTTTGCAAAATGATGCAACTTTCCTCAGCAAGGACATCTTCTAAATAGAGCAAAAGATTTCAATGAAATCACAAATGGATGAGCATTCACCAATTTTGCTGAGCAGGGCAATGAGCAGACCGGGAAATCATGTGTAGGTACGTCGGATACAACTTTTCGTTAAACCATATTTGTCATCTTATACAAATTGGAGAGGTGTATTTTGTAGATAATGCGGTTGGAAGTATGGGTAGAATGCCACCTTTCTTTTTTCCTCTCACCGGTTGTGTCATGTTTCTTCTTTTACTTTGTTTCGTTCGGGTAGAATGAAAAGAGTAATTTGTCACCAAAAAAAAGGGGTCCACTTGCATGTTTTGTGGATATGACTTGTGTAGATATTTTTCTTCTTCTTTTTGAATATGTCTCTTAGTTGGAAAAGAGGCTAGAGCCCCAGGATGTTATTTATACATAACAATTCATTCATAATATGAACAAATTTTTACCAGTTCGTGCTTATACTTTATTCTAGTTATTCAGGTAGGAACTCTTTACTCCTTTTATATACATTAAAGACACTACGTTCTGCAGGTATTCTTTGTATTTCAGATGAGTATTTTTCTTTTTTCTGATTCGTGAGTTAGATGAGTAAAATTACCAACTGTAACTGATGGACTTGAAATGATTTTATGTGCCAAATTATATGACCAGAGGGCTGCGGCATTAGACCTTCTGTATTTAAACTAAATTCCTACCAGATCAAGGGTTTATGCGAACAACATTCAATTCATGTGTGTATATGTGTGTGTGTATTTGTCTTTATGTATGCATGTATATAAACTCTAGCGTTATTATGTCTCTGAGAATAAACTAACCAGAGTCGTCACAAGTGTAAGAAGTCTCCAGTATTTGTCGACCAGCAAGAGGAGGTAACCATGAAGCATAATGCAGTGCAGGCATAGAACATGCCTAGATGGAGTATGAAAAAAGTCCTGAAGAGGACATTCAACGTTTTAGATGAGATTTGTTATATCTATGGGAAACGAAGGACCCGTTTGGTTAGTAAATAATGTTTCTACTAGTACAATCTTCATGTTTTTCACCAAATTATTAGGAATTTTTCCATTTTTTTCTTTCCATCAACACTTGATAAAAGTCATTTTTGGTATGGCAAAAAAGAGTGCAAGGATAAAAAGAGGGGATGAAATGGATGAAGGAAAACAGGAGGTCTCTGTGTGTGTGTGTGTGTGTGTGTGTGTGTGTGTTTGAAAGTAACAGAAGTCCCAAGTAACATCTATTCCTATCATTCTTCTTTTCTTGTTCCACAACTGAGGCAGGTTTAATCAAAATGAAGGAAACAATATTAACCTTAGTGCTATCAATGGTGCTTTTGCAACTGAAATTTGTACATTTATTAAATGGCAACAGGAGATGAAATCTAGTCTTCCATATTTAAACAAAACGAAGAACAGTCTCCCCATCAGATTTGCATTTCAAAGATCACTTATAAAGGGTAAGAAAGAAGTAGACCAACGGGCTAGTGGCCTAGTGATGTTATGTCCTAATTTTCCAAAAGGAGGTAAGGGGGGGTTTGAACATCCGTAGAGGTATGTGTGTGAGAGTTGCCAACTAGGAAAAAAAAAAAAAAAAAAAAGGAGGAAAAATTGCAATAAAACAACAATTCTGGTTCAAAAAGTAGCACAACATTTTACAACTACTTTTCTTCTTGGCTGTCATGGGGATGAGCAAATCACCAACTGAAGCTGATGGACTCAAAATGCAGATTATCTGCCAGACCAGATGAACATATGCTTGCAACCTCATGTCTCATCTTCTTCGGTCCGCAAACAAGAACCCCAACACTCGATTCTTTACGCTCAAACAAAATTTCTGCAATAATACCCAATTCCAGATTTCAATATCAAAGCCATAGCATAGTGCTTTTTTTTTTTTTTTTTTTTTTTTTTTTTTTTTTTTTTTTTTTTTTCTCTTGGAAACACTATAATTTTATTCAAATATGATGGTAGAAGAACTTACTGTTAAGCTTACCCTTCAACTTAAAAAAAGAAAAGAGAAAAAAAAAAGAACGACTTACTCTTCAGGTCTGGCCTTTCACCATAGTGCACACTGGTAGATTGGGCAAGTGACTGTTGTGGGAAGCTTTCCAGTTCTCTATCAGCATTATAGATCAAAGAGTTTGGCGACGCCACCGGTGTTGTCCCTTCCATGTTCTGAATCTGCTTTGTTTCCATGACATTTCGTTTCCCATTCCAAAGAAAAACTACGATAGTTGTGATGGCTATGGAGACGCATATGAGTAACATCTCTATCACAGATCTTGAAGAGTATGAATAAATATTTCCAGTGTTGTGATCAATCGGATATATATAGTAACGGGTCAGAATCCCTAGCAAGAGAAGGAAAATGATGAAAGAAGCCGATATAATGGCACCGAGCCATAGCCAGTTGTTCTGGCCTAAAACTGGAGTTATGGGTGCGTCAGATGGATTGGGTTTGAACCATATGGTTCGAAGGTGCTTTTGGTTTTGTGTATTGGGTTGTTTCTCTCTTGTTACATAAGCCTCAATTTGTAGCTCCAGTTTAGAAGATTCAGAGAGAGTGGTGGAAATTGGAAGGATGAGGTCTAGCATGGTGAGGTCTGAAGAGTTCTTGAGTGAGGTGATGAGGAGAATCTGTGGAGTCTTGCATTTCAATGTCTCACTCACAAACATGACTTCTTTGATGATAGAGATCAAGGGGGTTATGCCACTGCCTCCACTCACCATCACAATTGTGTCATGCCTGCAACCAATATTGTTTTACCAATGATTAATCTTACATTTTAGGGTTTTTAACTTTTTACGTGGAGTCAAATCTGTAACAAAAACTGATAGAAACTTCTATCATTTTCTTTTAGAGCAATGATAATACATTATTCGAATTCGAAGCATGCAGAATAAGGAATATGTGAGTAAGGGTGTGAACCTCATCACATGATGTCATGGTTTGTGGTGGGACTTACATCTCCACTCACACAACACTTGGTCAACATTTTCTGAATTTGAAGGATGTATAATTTTTCTTTCTTTTACCGATACACCAAACATGGATATCTAGAGAGAGCCTATATATATATACACACACACATTTTTCACTTATATTTTGCATACCTCAGAAAATTGGTTGAAACAGGTCCATATGGTCCTTCAATGGAGACATCAAGACGATCAATGGAAGAAGGCGAAGAAAGCATCTGAAAAAGCTTCTTAGTCCAACTTCCATCACATTTGATTATGACACTAAGCTTCTCTGCTTCCAAATTACTATTGGAAGTAACAGTGAAAGGATGCCACTGCACCTTTGAAATACTTGGCACATTGATGAACATTATGCTTGTTGGAGTGTAACTCAAACCTAGGTAGTAGCGTAGTATTTAAACGATTAATTAAAAGGATAATTTAAGGCGAATTCAAAAATTGACGAGGCGTTTCACAGGAGCTATGGGGCCCACCACAACTGGGTCATAGTTTTGTGAGATGTCGTCATTTCTATCATTGCTTAAAAAAGTATGTATATCTGATTGATACACGATGTGCATGTGTGACAGATGTATGATGGGAGTTTTACCTCGGCTTTTGGAGAAGTTGAGCTCGATGGTTTCACATGGTAAAACTCGGGCAGAGACTAGACGAACTCTTTTTCGTGATTGTAAGAACCTCAAGAATCGATCAACCAAGAAAAGGTAGAAGCCAGGAAGCATGATGCAGGAGTAAGAGATGCCAACATGGAGAACGAAGAAGAAGATGAAGAGAATGTAGAGGTAATGGGTGTAGAAGAAGACTTCAAACATCTTTCGCCTTATGCGAGGGTATGTTGTTACCCACATTGCTAATCCTGCAAGCAATGCCAATTCTCCAGGTACATTTGCTACATCAATTTTATTCCATTTTAGCATCTGCAATCCAATACAAAAGTGAAACCATTATGTTAAAATTCATTAAAAATAACATATATGAGAATTTTCACATGATATTTTTTTTTCCTACTCTCTAATTCTTTCTTATATTTTTTATTTTTTAATATATATTTTTTTGGGTAACTACCGTTGTTTTTTTTTTTTTTTTTTTTTTTTTTCTCATTTTCTTCAGTGGGTTAAAACTTTTATATATATATTTATTTATTCCTTATTAAAAGCTGGTACACGAAAGGGAGGTGTTCTAAAGCTCCAACACTAGGCCATGTTTAACATGCGTTTTGTTTTTGTTATTGTTGTTTTTGGGATGCTGTCGATTTTGGCAACAAAGCATGTTTGGTGTGGTCTAGTTTCATTTTATATCGTACTAAAATACTTCGTAAACAGTGGCTCAAAACTAAAACACAAAAAAGTTTATTTTTTCTTGTTTTGACAACTGTTCATGACCCAAAACATAACAATAGAGCAATACGGGCCAAAAACAAAATGCCTAAAATATCGTTCCCAAACGTGTTTTGATTTTTTTTCAAAACATTTTTACAGCAAAAATATTGTTTTTATTTTAACCTAAAACAAGACGCCTAAAATAAAATATATGCCAGACGGACCTAACAATGCAGACTAGTTTGGGCCTATTTGGTTTGCTTAAAAAACAATTCTCATGGAATAGGCCCAATTCAGTTCCCAAATTAGTGGGAATTTTAGTCAGCTCTATTTCCACCGTACACGTGTCCCATAGCTAATGATATGATTTTGGTGCCAACAAACTTGTAATTTGTAATCATCATTGGATGATCCTAGTCATCCATTTAATGGCGTTCTCGTTTTGCTTTTACAGACAAAGACAAAACAATATATTTTTTGCACGATTACAATGTGACATTTGAGAAAAAGCCCCTACACGGCACTGTTGGCAAACAACTTCACTTTCTCTCTCTCTTTATTCTTCTTCCGTATCTACAAAGCAACAGACTAGCTTCTACTTGACCATTTCAATGGAGTTTCGTGGTGGTACACAATTTGAATGGACATGATTATAAGACAGTGGGCAATGCAATTTCAATGGACTGTAAATGAATTGAGCTCGATCATTAAGGTTATTAATCTCTTCCAATTTATAGGGGCTTGTGTCCTATCTTGGGCACTTATTTTGGTACATAAGCACATAACTCAATGTAACTGTAGTGTAAAGAGTTCGCATGACCATTTTAATTTTTATGTTATTGTGTATCAAAATAGCGTAATTTTAGTACATAAGATCCTTACAAATAGGAGGGGATCCTAGTCTCATTATATATACGTACTATATCATATTTTCGTTAACCGAAAATAATCAGAGAGTTGATTGTGTAATTAAAGATCTAACCCTTTAACATTATTTGCATACAGTGATGCTAATGAATAATAAAATGAGGTTGTGATAAAAATAAAATGAGGCTGAGGTCCATAAATTATTAAAGGGCCTCGATCAATTAAGGTTATATATTGCAAAGCAAGTAACAAAACTATAAATTTAAGTACCATAAGAGAGGATTATAATAATGTGTAAAATAGTCAATAGAAAATATTGTTTGGCTTTACTTTATTGCCAAGGCTATTATAATTTTGCAGATTTGATGACGTTGGTTTAGAAACTAACAATTTGAAAAAACTCAAAACACATAGTTAACGATTATTATAGGCACTGAATATATACTTTGATATATTACATTATTAATTACCTCGGATAGTTCATGTGTAACAGCCCAAAAGATGATGTAACAGACACCATGAGCTGTGAAGAGGGTCATGACAATGTGTCCGAGCCATATATGATACTTGACACTAGCCTCAGAGGTGAGCCCAAAGAGTGGCAGCACCGACGAGCCGCGGGTCACCGGAAAGAAGAGAAGGGTTAGACATATGTTCCCCACAAGCCCTAGCCTTAGAGCTGCAATGTCCAACCTAGCTTCCCACCTGCAAATTCAACCACATTATATATTGATTTTGAGTAAAGTACATGATAAATGAACCGAAATTCTTGACCGAACATAGACCTTCACATGCACCGTGGTAGGATCAGATCACATGAATCCTACCAAGTTGCATTTGAGAGTCTCTGTTAAAGATTTTGTTCAAAAGCATGGGTCCAATGATCATCTTCCTTTTGAGTCATGATGGGAAGTCCAACTCTAACTAGATTCACGTAAGTGTGGGCCCATGCCCTCGTTTACATGTAATTATGTCATACTTGTTTAATTGTCGAACTGTTTTTAGTATGATTACAAGGAGAGGGTATTGCATGATTTGATATTTTGTAAAGAATTCCTACACTTTCTCGCCGGAATTTGCCGCGGATTGTGGTGTGATTTTAGCAAAGCTGATATGCAAGTAAGATGAGAAAGACCAAACCAGGAGTGCAATGAACATGACCAAAAAAGCCAACTCTATCCGAGAAACAATTCCTAGGCCTTTCATGATCAGTACTGGCCTCTTCCATAACTCCAGTTGATGTTTTTTGCTGTTTCAAATTAAGTTTTTTCCACGTTATATATGTTCACAAAGGACTCGCATAATTAACAATATATACGAGAATGAAACGTTTTAGACTGAAAATTAATTAAATTAAGTGTACATACATACCTTTCTGTGTTATTGTCACTTGTTTGCTTTCCTAAATGGTGGTATACACAGCCCAACACAGCAATGAATAAAATGGGGAATGTGAAGAACAACATTGTTGCCCCTGTAACAAAGAATTTGTGTTAGTCTTATCTCGAAGGAAAAAAAAAAAAAAATTTAGTATGAAAATTAGAATTAAGAGTAGGTAAGTCGGACAACTATAATTGTTTTTATCTGATGTCATCCACTCACATCAAACAATAGGATTGGTCCAACCGTTGGTCTATATATCATTATGCTATAACTAAACACACATGTAGTATGTGCGTGTCTATATATATATATATGGAGCATGCATATATAGATGATATATATGAATTCAAACCTTGTATTCCAAAGTAAGTTGAGTTCGTCTGTGCTCGCATTTGTGGCAACCATGTATCTCTATAAAGATTGGTTGGTGTCATGATCCATAGGATGAGATATCCTAGCAAGACTATCACCATTAGAGCCATTATAGCCCCTCTGATGCCTCTGATTAATCCTCCATGAGATGGAGGCGATCTGTTCACCACCCTTGAGTCCATTCTCTCTCTCTCTCTTCTTTCTCTCTCTAGGAGGTTGATCACTGAAAAGAGCCAAATGGAATGAGATCTATATGGGAATTAAGTGGTATACATATATATAGAAGGAATGTGACTAATATTTATAAATGCACAATTGGAAGTGTAACGTCTCAAATATTCAATAAAAAAGCATGATTCATGTCCCGCTAAGGTGTTACGGTTCTATTTTAATACTTTTTACGTCAGATTATGGGTTAACTATTGGTTGGGAATGAGCAAGTTGACATTAATTGTGAGTCAAACCACATGGATGGTTTTACTTCCATCTATGCATGGTTCATGCAACAGCTGCACGTCATATGAAAGCCCATATATATACATATATAGATATATGTATATATATACACACGCATAGATATATATACAGATAGAATGTTCATTGTGTGAAAAGAATTTATCTATTGTCACTGTTGGATATCATCTGTGACTAAAAGCATAAACAACCTTATTAACTATCCAATTAAATGTAACGATTAATTTTGACTTCGTGCATGCATTTCTCTACACACTTAGAACAAACAAATATTTATTTATATACAAATAATGTATATAAATATATAATTCCTTCACGTCAAAGCCAAACTTTTTCCCAATTTGAAGGGATTTTGAGTCTGTAATAATTGTGGTTACCGTACAATTACGAATTGGATTCAATGGCAGTAGAGTCGGGGCTCGTGTTTGCATAAGGTTAGTGCGTGTTTTGTGTGTGTCATCACATGCTTATAGGCTGATGTGTACGGTTGCTTAATTTGCAGAGACTATTATATATGCTTATCAAGCCCATGCCCCCAGGACACCAACCTTTTTATTCTGGTTGGAATGGGCTGGCCCAAATCGGAAAACAAGACTCAAGCCCGCCCATAGACTTATAGATTACATAGTTTTTTCCATGGGCTGGGTTTGGGCTTGGGTCCAATCGGGATGGCTTCGGTCCTTTGGTATTTTCCCATCTACTTTTATAAAAATAAAAACAAAAAAATTATGTATGTAACTATGCATATTAATATTAATATAGTTTATATAAATATTGAATTTATATAATTTTGTAAGTTTATGTAAAGTACTCATATTTGTTTATATGGATAATTTTATTTAAGCATATACGTTTTGTAATTAAAAACAAATTAACAGACTTTTATTTAATCTATACATGCAATCCAATTATACTATATGTGTGTAATTTCACAAGTACAAATATAAATTTTAAAAGAAAAAATATATACACATATTATATATGTTTGTTGTTATAATTCAACAATGTTTATTTAGCTATGCTGATTGCAATTTTTTAGCATTGATGTTTGTGGTTCATACGTGATGCCTTTCTTCTAAGAAATTGACAAGGTAATAATATAAATGATTTTTTTTTTTTTAATTTTTAACTTACCCATAAAAAATTGATTTTTTTTATATTTATTTTTATTTTTATGATGCATATCTATATTTAATAGTTAAAATAGGGACAGAGATGGGGAAGTTAAAATAGAGAGAGAGTGGCAATTAACTTACCAAATAGACAAACTAGAAATTAATTAGAAGTCCAATTAGACACAAACCATTTTGGCAATTCACCTTAACAGAAAAATATTATATAGTCATTTACCCAAAGAAAGAAAGAAATATAATGGAGTGAAAAAAAAAAAATTGACAGAAGAACTAATTAATAAGGGGGAAAATAAAATGGAGGAGTCTATATATATCTTGACAAGAATATGTGATAAACTTGTCTTTAATATAATTTACAGTTAAAAGGAATTTTAATTTAATTTGTGTGTGAGATGTGAGTTTTTTTTTTTTTTTTTTTTTTGTGTGTGGGAACAGCTTTATCATTCTTTGTCAATTAATGGTTTCTCCTTCTCTGCATTCACCAACATCGATTGCAATGGTGCCTTTCTTCTTGGATGGCAACACCCGACAGCAATTTCTTCTGGGCGACTGTTCAAAGACCAAAAAGGACCTCCCTTAGCACATCATTATAAACAGTAACCATCAACACCACAAAAGTCAAGAATTTGATATTCAAATCGGTATTAGAGCTCATAAAATTAGGGCAATTCATTCGTATACACACGCCAATTGCATGTGTTCGATAATAAATTATGAAATGTTTTAAGAGATTCGATAAGACAATGATCAGCCAATGCATATATGTAAAAAGGGTTTTCATTCAACTATTAATGAAGGCTCTAATGAGTATCCGAGTGATTGAGACGCTTCTTTGCGTTTTCGAGCCACTTGCTTTTGCTTTTGAAGTATAAGAATGTGCTTAATAATTCAAAACAATAGTAAACCAAATAAAAGAGGCAAAAAAAAAGTGAAATACCTTGTCCCATAAATGTGGGTCAGGTTTCTTATAAACCTCAACTCTTTGTATGTGAGAAGGATCGGCCATCTTCCACCAGCATCTTTCCTGTGGTCGGGGTGGGGTTCGAACTTGAACGTACTCGCTAGCTGTCCGATTATTGAAAGGATCATAAAGAGCATTGGACATGACATAAATATACGGCCATTCGCAAGCATCTTCGTGAACCGGCCGAGTGTTGAAGGCAAAGGCTGTGTAATCGGCCTTTCTGTGCCAATTGAGAAAAGTTACCCTAGGAATTTCCATTTCGCGGGCTGGAATTATGAACTGAAATATTTGGACCGCGTAGCCCCATGACACTGATATGGTCCATTTCTTAGACTGGTCGTAGCATATAGATTGTTGCAAGAGTCCAGCCGAGTCGAGCTTTGTGGGCAACTTGAGCCGCTCTAGGGCTTGAACCCGATCTACGCCGGGGAAGATTGGATCCACCAAGTCCAGGTGGTGGAGGGAGACTAGCGGTGCCACCGGGTGTGCCGCGAGGAACCCGAAGATGTTACCGTACATATCACACTGATCAGACATTAAACATTAGTTAGATCATTTCATTGCTACAAATGAAAGAAAATTAAACACCACAAAATATCACACTAATCAAATATTTGATATTGTACTCAGAGAAGATTTGATATCGGTCGTACTACTAATGTGCAGTAGGTGAAAAATGAGAATTGATGCACATTCTATTTTTCATTCTTGGCCATCTAATCCGATCAGACTAACTATTAATTGATTAATTAGATATTAGGAAGAAGAATAATGATAGGAGATTTGATATTTGAATAAATTCGACTAATTTTAAGTTAGTAAGAATTGATGTTATCATAACAATATGAGCTTTCAAACTTCAAATAAAATTTTCACTAAAGAATCATCCCTTCATGAAAGATGAAAATTATTTAGGCTAATTAGATACTAGGTGTTACAAGTAGAATTTGTTTCACATCGGATTTGAATTGAGGTTGAAGTGTGTATAAATGAGTGGGTATGTTGTACTATCCAGTAGCTTGAGCTTCTGGGTAAATAGGCAAGTACCCACCCGTTACAGTTAGTATCATACTCAAGCTCAATCTTTAATTTAGTGTCACGCTAAGCCTTCGACTCGGAAGGCTCGGGTTTGTCCCCGGATAAATAGGGTGGTCCGATCGTAACGAGAGCATTGCGTGGGTTCGGGTGGGGCAGTATGAATTTTCGAACTTCAAATCAATTTTTGACAAAAGAATCATCCTATCATTAAAATGACGAGGATGGAAATTATTTAGGCTAATTAGAGGCAGAAATGATTATTGCAATTGAAACAACTTAGAAAGAAAATAAAGCCATGTATTAGAAAGAAAAAAATATATATAAAATATAATTGAACCCTAGTTGAGTAGGTCGACGTTTCCATTCTCATCTATGCTTTTTTTTTTTTTTTTGGCACTTAACCCATAAATAAAAATAAAAGAAGATAAGTACTACTCTTCGATAATTTCAATCCAAGTAAAACTCAAATAAGAGGAGGAAAAACAAAAATGTCATATGAGTTAAGAAATTAGGTATACAGAGTTGTATAAAGAGAAAGGAGAAAAAGAAACCTGGTGAAACCCAATCTCTTTGGTGAGAGGGACTCCAAGCTCAGCCATGCAAGCTTGGATCCGATCATCCGACCCGTACAAATTCGGGTATCTCTGTATACACGTATCTTGGATTTTCGCAAGAGCTTTGGCTAATGGATAACTAATAGCAAAACCACCACCACCGTAAGCCATGTTATACGAGAAATATATATTCTGTAAATGACTCTCCGACGTACTACCAATATAATAAAACTGGTTATGATCATATTTCTGCAAAACCCTAGGCAAATTATCCGGAAAAAACATGGTATCATCGTCACCCATCACCAACCACCTCACATCCTCCATCTCTAACCTCACCATCTCGGACACAATCCGAGATATTCGTATCCCGGACCGGTCACCCTTCGGGTTCGTGTAGTCAAACTTTGAAATCTCACTTGATATCTTCAATGGCGGGAGAGAAGAAGTATCATCGTATTGGGTATCATTGTTTACCGGCTGGTCTAACCATACAAACCCTCGCATTTCATTGGGCCTCCACCATAACTTAATGTAGTTCTGCCTGTGATCCCATAGCTTCGCCGAACCCCCGATCCCGAATACAATATGTTTGAGCTGTGTTCGGTTTGGATTCTCATACTCTGTAATGACGGGAGTCTTGTGCACTGAGTCCGTAACGTTTGATAATTTTGGTTGGAGTTGGTTGCGAGTGGTGAGAGGGTTTTGGGTATATAAACGATAAGAGTGTGTGAATCTTAGAGTGTAGAATATGTAGCTAAAAGAGATGAAGATGGTGAACCAAACCATGAGCTTTGGAAGTGTACGATTTGGGTTGTCTCTCATGGTCTCTTGGAGTTTTACATACCAAGAAACAAACCCGCCAATACCCCCAACCGTTGATTCACAAACCCTATATCAATCTCTGTAAACCATATTTGATTTGGAGATAGAAAGACTACTGCCATGCATCCAGTTGCCTAAGGGTAATAGAACTCTCATCCATGTGAAATTATTATATAATTTGATTATATAATTCTGGCCAATTATAATTTGACACGAAAGTAAAAAAATAAAATAAAATTTACAAATTTACTTGTACGGTAAAGTTGTGAGTGCGGAGAAGCATATGGTCACTTCAAATTTTTTTTTTTTCTTTTTTTAAATCAATTTAAAAAAAGAATTTAAACGTTGTCGTTTACTTCCTCAGTCCCAAATTAAATGCACGGTTTTCAAAATAAGACATTTAATTTGGGACGGAGGTAATAATATTAGAGGATTGCAATTTTCGACTTTTATAGGTTGAATCCATGGTTCGCTGTATGATCTGATATATGAATTATCGATCAATCCAATACGCGATTCGTATCGCTTAATTTACATTGATTTTATCCGAATCCGAGTCCGAATCCGTGACCTTGACCTTGAACTCTTTTTTGGTAAAATAACTGAAATGATGTCGCTTGATTCTTAGTGCCTTGTGAGTTTAGATTTTAGACTTTGATTATCTATCTACCGTTTGATGAGACACACGACACCAAACAAATCTGGACCACCGGAGAGTGTACACCCTTGTTATACAGAAACAAATATTCAAATTATCGATCAATCCAATACGCGATTCGTATCGCTTAATTTACATTGATTTTGTCCGAATCCGAGTCCGAGTCCGAGTCCGTAACCTTGACCTTGAACTCGTTTTTTGGTAAAATAACTGAAATGATGTCGCTTGATTCTTAGTGCCTTGTGAGTTTAGATTTTAGACTTTGATTATCTATCTACCGTTTGATGAGACACACGACACCAAACAAATCTGGACTATCGGAGAGTGTACACCCTTGTTATATAGAAACAAATATTCAAATTATCGATCAATCTAATACGCGATTCGTATCGCTTAATTTACATTGATTTTGTCTGAATTCGAGTCCGAGTCCGAGTCCGAGTCCGAGTCCGTAACCTTGACCTTAAACTCGTTTTTTGGTAAAATAACTGAAATGATGTTGCTTGATTCCTAGTGCCTTGTGAGTTTAGATTTTAGGCTTTGATTATCTATCTACCGTTCGATGGGACGCACGACACCAAACAAATCTGGACCACCGGAGAGTGTACACCCTTGTTATACAGAAACAAATATTCACTACTTTCGCTTCAAGAAAGCCCCACCTGAAGAGGCAAGAGGGAGAAACTCTCGCCTGAAATTTCACTCTGCAACTTCGAAATTCATGTAGCCGAAAAAGCTCAATCACAGCAGGTCAGTGCTAAATTGCTCTAAAAACATACAACAATTTTATTATTTTCTTCATTTAAATTACTTGCCCTGTTCGGTTGCTCAGAAAATCCAAGAAAATGAAAGAAACTAAATATTTTCTAAATGTAAGGAATGGACTGAAGATAGTTTGACTAGGTATGTTGATTTAGACAATTTAATTGAGCTTAAATGAAAGGACATACCATAATACTACTGGTTTGGTTGTTTTTTTTGTTTTTTTTTTTCAGCAACCAAACGGAAGGCTCTGAGAATCGGTGTTTACATTGTTTTTGTGTTGTTAAAATATTTGCAGATTGAGAATTGAGTGCGTAGATTCTGTTGGATGATTTGTAAGTTTGCGTAATGGCTGCAAGTAGGTTTTTGATTTGGAAATCGCGCTTTTCTACTACTGTAAACCGTTCTTTCAAAGCACAATCATGTCGATCATTTGATTCTTGTATGAAATTTGAGAAATGTGCTGATCCAATTGATGCTAGACCTTTGTTTACTTGCATAAATCGTAATTTTCATGCTGAACAATCTGGATTCACCGAGAACAATGTCAATAGTCGTCTTGGATCTGTTGTTGATAATCAATATTATAGGAACAATCATTTTAGGGCATTATCCCCTACTTTACTGAATTCCCGTCAATGGAGGTCTGTTTCTGTTGTTCCGGTAAGTCCTACACTGAATTACAGATGGTTTTCATCATCTGTCGGTAGCCAAGGAGATAATGCTAGGGGTGGGGAAGTTCCTTCTGCTTCAGGTGTAACTGGTTCTGATAATGGTGATGCTGGCCTTAGTGGAAGTGATATAATTGATAAGGTTAAGGATGTTTGGCAGTCTACAATAGATACTGTGACTTATACTGGGCAAAGGACCAAAGAAGCTTCTGATGAACTGACTCCTCATGTTCAACAGTTGCTTGATACACATCCTTATCTTAGAGATGTCATTGTTCCGGTTGGTAGTACTTTGACCGCCACTATATTGGCTTGGGTGGTGATGCCGAGGCTTTTAAGGAGATTACATAAGTATGCGATGCAAGGCCCTGCTTCATTTTTATCTGGGAGTACATTATTTGGGCAGGTTCCATATGAAAAAAGCTTTTGGGGTGCTTTGGAGGATCCAATAAGATATCTAATCACCTTCATGGCATTTACACAAATGTTAGTATGCCTCTTCATCTTATTTTCATGACCATGTGCTTTACGGTAACATGTTTGTACTAACTCTCATTGATTTTTATAAATTTAGAGGCATGATGGTTGCCCCAAGTACTATTGCATCGCAATACCTTGCCCAGGCTTGGAGGGGTGCTGTTATTCTTTCTTTGGTGTGGTTTCTGCAACGGTGGAAAACAAATGTTATTACTCGTGCATTGACTGTTCAGAGCACAGTGGTTGATCGAGAAAAGCTGTTAACTCTTGACAAACTTTCTTCCATTGGTTTATTTGTCCTTGGTTTGATGGCTTTGGCTGAGTCATGTGGGGTGGCTGTGCAATCTATTCTGACTGTTGGTGGCATAGGAGGTGAGTTTCAGTAGCAATTTCATGTGCTTTTTATTACAAATTGGTTGGTGACTTGAAGGTTCTTGAAATAATAAAATCCCTCAGGATGGACATGATTTTCTATGGATAGTCTTTTCCTTATTTTTAATCTCAAAGAGTCATTTGTCACTTGTGCTAAAAATTTATGATCCTACAAGGAATGATATTGTTTTGTATACTAAGAACCATTGCATAACCTGATGGTTTTGATTGTTGTAGGTTTGATAAGTTCACAAATGAAGTTTGCAACTCTAGACCCCAAAATGCATGAAGTTATTATTATTATTAATAATGAGTTTTAACTGTCATGTATGTGTCTATCAACTTTCTTTAGGGTTAAAATGAGTTCAACCATCCACACATAGCTATGACCGGGCTTGTTAGAAGGCTTGTTTATGTTTGCTCATTAGTGAATGAGAGCTTGGATCTAATCCATGAGCTCATTAGCAAGTGTGTTGGCTTGAGAACACAGGATTAGGTTTTTTTTTTTTTTTTTTTTTTTCTATGAAAAGTTTTCATACCAATTTATGTAATTATGAAATATTCTTATTCTTTCACGTGATTGATACCTGTACATGCAGAAAGTTAAAATACGGTAAAAGATACAAAAATTGGTAATAAAATGTAATAAAATTGAAATGACTTATTCACATTTATTGACTTGTTCTTCTCATTGGAGGATCGTGAGTAGTGGCATAACACTCTTACAATTTTTTTTTTATTTTTTATAAATCAGCTTATCTTCAAACTTTAACCTTAAATTTGTTGACATGTCAGCAGTTTTTCATACTTTGCAAATTTATTCGATCACAAACAGTCCATTTCGTTTGTTGACATGTGTCCCAAGAATGACCTGATCTACACAATCCACAAGCAAACAAGCTGTGTTCGACCTACTCTTTTTTTTTTCGGAAGGTTGTTCGACCTACACTTTGTGACTTGTCATAATATGGGCCAAACTTGAACATATCTAGCTGTGCCAAGATCGAGCAGGCTCTGCTTGGCTAATTTGCAGCCCCACCCATCCTGTGAATTTCTTCATTTGGAATAACTATAAAGTGCCCTGTATATTATTTGTGGTTGTAATAGATCATATAGGTTCCACTAGTACTTCTCACCCTATTTTTGCCATATTTTTCTTAGTTTATGTAAAATTTTCTAATATTCTTTTACAAGTTCCATCCATGGTCCCATTTGGTCCTCTTCATTACCTTTTCAGAGCCATCTGCCATTACGGAATTATGGTTTTTCATAATATTGTTGGATCTGTTGTATACTATAGCTACCAGATATCTTGGTCACATCTCTAGTTATATATCACCTATTCGGGAATCTCCATCTGACTTGCTACTTATTAGCCTTAATATCCTCATTTAAGTTTTGTTATATTTAAGTACAAGTTTTGTATGACTTTGGTAACAAGCTGCACCATAAACCTCGGTCACTTCAGTCACATTGACTTAGCCTGATAGTAAACTTTACAGTTGAGGTCAGTTTTTTTTTTTTTTTCAATGAAAGAAAAAAGAAATGGTATGAAAGTGCTTGGATTGAGTTAGCCACTTCACTCCATTGCTAAAATGGTATGAAGCAACGGTGTATTATGAGCTTGCTGCTTACAAATCTTTTGGTTGCAAATGTTAATACAAACTTCATCTTCATTCAACTTTCTGGTTATTTCACATGGCAATGCATGCATTTTCTTTTTAAATGAAAGTACTTGGATATTAGATTCTTAATGGAGTATATCATGTGTATTCATCTATGGATGAGTTTCTATGTTTCATTGAGATAAGAAATCTGTGACTACTTAGTTTTTTTTTATGGACTTGTACCTTATATATGTGTGCAAGGTGCTTTGTGTTGCAAAATGTGAGGGGGGTATTTTAGCATATTTGCCTACCATTTCTCATCAACGGTGTGAAATGTTTATATTGATTGGTTAGTGCTTCCAGAATTCTAAAAGATTATTGCCATGGATGAAATATTTCTTTCAAGGATGCAGTTTCATTCACCAAAAATGGGAAAGCTTTGGCAATGCTAAGGACGTAAATTATAGTGTTGGAATAAGTTAAGAAATGCATGGGAATGCTTTGAAACACATAGAGTGGAACTTCTTCACTATGTTACATGGACTCGGATAACAGTATAGGATGCAAGTGTGTGTCTTAAGAGTTGGACCTCCCCGAATCCCAAATATTAGGACACATGGAAATGTGTCCAAACACAACGTATGTAGACACATACTATGCATTTAAATTCAATGCATGTTATAGATGTAGTGTAATATATATTCAATTATAATTTAAATTGAATGGCATGTGGTAGAAAAATGGCGTTCTATTTATCCAATAAATGGAAAACTCTTCTCTGCTATCAAATTTTAATTTTTTAGTTTTTAGATCATCATTGGGATGTACAATTTGGGTTCATGTATTGGACACACATCCCATACCATACCCATATCAACACTGGAGGGAGATAGGAGAGTCCATGTAATCAGTTTATTTATGAAGTTGCTAGCTATTAACTACCCAAAATGCTAGAGGCTAATATACCCACCCACATGAAAGAAAACAATATATTTTGGAAGAGAAGGTGTTTTTTCTTTTAACTTTTGAAGACGCTGATCAATACTACTTACATTTGAGATGAAAAAATATGATTTTTTTTAAAGATGTTCTTAAATGCAACCTCTTGACTTGCAGAAATATATACAGTGGTAGTATCTACAGATTTTAAAAAGTTATAATCTTCAATGAGTTTCTAGAAAATTAAAGTTGTGGGATGTCTTTGTAAGTACTTGGAATCTAACTTTTCTTCCCTCTTTTTAATCCTTATGCAGGAGTGGCTACTGCTTTTGCTGCTAAAGACGTTCTTGGGAATGTTCTCAGTGGGTTGTCTGTGCAGCTTTCTCATCCTTTTTCAGTTGGAGAAACGATAAAAGTAAATTGAAAATATTATATGCTATTAACTGCACATAGCTAATTTTTTTGGTCCATTTTACATCTTCTAAATTGGCGTGAAACTCAGGAGCTCTCTTTTTCCTCCCAAATTCAGTAAGAAAATGTGTCATGATCCCTAGTATTTCCTTTTCTTTTTGCTATGGATGCCTAATTAAAATAAAATGGGATCTTTTTGTTATTTATCCTGGAAAAATGTGCATGAGTGAAAGCTCTCTTTTAATTAATCAAACTGTTGAGTGTCTTCCAGTCAGCTCTTTGGTGGCAAATGGCAATTGCCTGCAAGGTTTTTCGATTAAGAACTTTGTTTTGTTTGTTTGCACTCACAGGCATTTGTGCTAGTTCTTATAATACTTGTTAGACTGCTAGCCAGTGAATGCTTTTATTATTTAGATGACTGTTTCTACCTGCTGTAAATCTTCATTTTTTTAGTTTTGAAATTTTGATACATGGTAGATGCCATATGACAGAACTTGAAAGCATAGAACTGTGTGGCCTGCAACTGGTTTAGTGTCTTGTTTCAATAATGGAAAGGTTTGTTGGTGTAGGAGAATGTGCTAGCATTGTTTAGAGCTTGGGATGAGGAGTGTTTCAAGGCTGAAATAGGGCTCTGAATGGTAATTTAAGAACTGTATTAAAAGAGAAGAAAAAGATGAAGAACAAGACGAATCTAGGAATCTTACCTAGGGTGTCTTATGCTTCACCCTCGTAAGGTTTAAATTGCATCACAAATACTCCTCAAAACTCATTTCATTAAATAGGAAGATTATCTAAGCTAATTATAGACTGTTCAGTTTTCTTACTTTTAGTCGGACATGACTCTAAAGATGGGAAATTTTTGGACTTTAACGTCTAAAATTATGCTAGACCTACTAAAATATTACTTATAAAAACCCAATAACACAAGTTAACACAAAATACAACCCAATGACCATTGCTGTAGCCCATGTTCAGCAAATCTTTTCTTACTTTTAGTCGGACATGACTCCAAAGATGGGAAACTTTTGGACTTTATTATTCTAGACCTACTAAAATATTACTTATAATGACCCAATAACACAAGTTAACACAAAATACGGTGCATTGACCATTGCTGTAGCCCATGTTGAGCAGGTCTTGAAGTTATGGAAGTACCTTCAATTCCTAAAAAGTGATAAAATATTGATATATTTCACAGGCAGCATACTATCTTGATATAAAAGTTAGTAAATACTTAATTGAACCTAAAACTTGATTACACTAGGTCCAACTTTCTCTCCATAGGGAATTCACAATTTGTCCCTTCCTTGTTTAGTGTGCTCCAAATCAGTAGGCTACCCTTGAACAGAATGTCTTTTATTATTTAATATGAAAAACTTAGGAATTAGTTATAAATTATAATTGAGGGATGAGATATGGTGAGCTTGCCTCATTAACGTGGGAAATGCATGCCATGCCATGCCTTGAACACTATAAGCCTCGTATCTCCACGATTAAAGAAAATATTGGTTATAGAAATTATAGTGGATAGATTAAGTGGAGTACTTCTGAATTATTGTGTGATTTATAGATACATACATATTGAAGGCTGCTGGTCTGGGTTTGAGTTTAAGTCCCTTCCGGAAGTCCATTTGTGACAATTTCCCCATTCCACTTTTAGGATTCTCTAAGTGAGTGGTTGAAGGTGGCTTAGGATCCTATTGAATTAGTGAGAGAGAGAGGTGCTAACAGATAGATGGAGTGGATGAGATTATGGGGTTGGAGGAGGTGGGAGCAAATAGATGGTGTTCAAGAATTTGTCTGTGGATGTATTGCTTTGATGCCATCCTGCAGCGTTCCTTTAATGGATTTTTTCAATTTATCATATCAACCAATATGTTCTAAACGTGGCATTACAATACCCACTAATTGGTTATTTTACTATTGTACTGCTCCATAATGGGATGGCATCAAAGATGCCCTCAACTAGTGTATCAGTAGCATATTTGCAAGGTTGAAGTTCTCTCAGGCCTCCTTGTCTTTGCTCCAGGCACCTCTTATTCTATCCCGGTGCATATCACTCGACATTTACTGGGTTGTTTATAGTATCATGAGTTCAAGCAAATGTGAGGTATCCTTGGTACTTGTTGTAGTAGAATTTCATGGGCTTTCCTTGGTTCATGTGATCTAGCTTACTTGATCTAGCTTACGCCAAGAAGGTGAAAGATCTATGACATAGCTACATCATTGGGTATATCTTATGTTATATGATGTTAGGGCATTAAAATGTGTTTATAAAATGATCTTGGCTAATTTTCGAGATTGAAGAATAGCAATGTGAGAAATTAAAGAATATTGAAATGTGTAAATATATGAGTTGGGAGTAACATTGATTCAGATCATATGGGAGAAAAGTGTTTAAGATGGATGGTCATTGCAATAAAAACAATCATTTTAGTTGGTGAACAGTAGACATGGTTTCAGTCGGTTTTTGCTGCAAGGATGTGTTTGGTGTGGGGTGGGGTAGGTTGGGGTAATACCAAAACAGATGTGGGTTTAATATAATAAAGATATACACACCTTCAAAGATTGTAGCTAATTGTATTTCCTCACCTTTCAAGGTAGAAGGTCAAGGGGGCAAAGTGGGTTTGTGAGTTTCAAATAGGAAAAGGGAATATATATATATATATTCACATACATATTGACCCATGATCTTACAGAAAGTATGACATAGTGACACGGTATATGTGCAGCTGACCCAAAAGATTAGCACAAAGACTTTCTTTAGTCAAGAAATCATTCTAAAAAATGGAAGAGAGATCATGGGCTTGCTTGGTTCAGTTTCCTGAGAACAATTTTCTGTTTTGACAACTGAAAAATAGAAAACAGGATGAAACTCCTTTTGGTTGACAGTTTTTTGAAGACTATTTTCTGAAATCTCAGTAAAAAACAGCCCGTTTAACCCCGTTAAAAAAAGGCATGTCCAAAGAACTGTATTATAGTTCAAATTTCAGAGATCTTGATTTTTTATTTTTATTTTTTCTCAAGATAACTGAACCAAACAAGCCATAAATTTTTATGTGTATGTCTATGATCATCCCAAAGCAATTTTGTGTCATGTTGCATAATTTGTTGACTACATTTTTTTTGATGACTGGTTCTCTGAGAATTTTGAGTTATTAGATTAATGTTCTTTGCTAGCTCTTCTTCAGATTTCATTCCTTGAACTTTGCGTAACTACCACTTTTGCAGGCTGGATCTGTAGAAGGACAAGTGGTAGAAATGGGACTTACAACCACATCATTGCTGAGTGCTGAAAAATATCCTATCATAGTTCCAAATTCACTGTTTTCTAGTCAGGTGGGCATGCTCTTCTTATTTTTCAAGTGCTCATTTCTTACATCCCTATTGCCAATGCAGTACACTGCATAATCTTCAAGTTGTCAATTTCTCATCTATAATACATGTTGATCATAAAGTCCACCATATGCACGGATTCTTTGAGGTTTCTTGCATGTGAAATTTCTAATGGCCTTCCTCACATCTAGATCTCATGTGTTACTTGAAGTATTGCATATTTCTGTTCATATTCCTCCGCTTGTAATTTTAGTGCACTTATCTCTCTCTTTAATGAATGCATGGATATATTCTCAGAGCTGTTTCTTAGTTATGCCTTAATCTTTGCATGATGTTTTTTTTCTGCTTTGTGATATCATCATATAAGTAAATACACCTGGGCCTAGGCGACCCGTTGCCTAGGACCTCCAATTTGGGCCCAAAAAATTGTATTACCAGGGTCAAAAATTTTGTATTCCTAGGGCTTCTCAAAATTTTGGGCCTCACATTTGCCTAGGGCCTCAGAAAATATTGGGCCTCTCAGGGCCGGCCCTGAGTAAATATTATGGTTTCTTATATCATGGAAGTCAATCTATTTGGTCATTATAAATCTTTGTATGTGACGAATACATTTCTGTAGGTAATCGTGAATAAGTCTCGTGCCCAATGGCGTGCCATAATTACCAAAATTCCTCTGCAAATAGGTGATTTTGAGAAGATTCCCCAGATATCAGATGACATAAAGAGCATGCTCAGATCAAACTCGAACATTTTCTTGGGGAAGGAGGCCCCATATTGTTTCTTGTCTCGAATAGAAAGATCATTTGCAGAACTGACTCTTGGATGCAATCTAAAGCATATGGTATTCTTTTTCCTGTCAAATATTTCCTGAATTAATCAACTGATTTCATTGGTTTGGATTAGGTTCAATGCTTTTGACCAGTTTTAAGTTTCTTATAATTCCGTATGTTGAAATTGACTAGCATTCAAAAGATAACAACTATGAATATATCTTCCTTAATAGAGTTTGTGCATAGCCAACTGATCGAGAGGAAATGTAAATTTCTTATAAACCAGTTGTTTCATGTTACCATTTTTCTATTATACATCGAAGTATCATTAATACTCGCTCCAAGCAACTGGCCTTCAGTCAGGTAGATGATATTGATTTTTAAAGTATACCATTTGAATAAATTGAGGCAGTTTTAATTCATGAATCTGGTTTTAATAGAAATTAAATTACTTTGTGCATGGGGTGTGTTATTCATTTCTAGTTACTTTGTGCTGCTGCCCTTTCTGAATATTGGGAAGAATGGAGGAAATTTAAATGCGGAAATTCTTAAGAATCGGTTCCTTTTGCCTTTAGCACTTTCATTTCCGTCCTCATTCTGACGTCTACTGGGTTGATCTCTATGATACTTTTTATATAAAAAAAAATTTGCAGATTTCATTTGAACATGTAAGGCTTATTCATTTGTCTCTCTCTTTTTCTGAACTCTTTTTTCGGTGCCTGGTGCGTAAATACATCTTCCTTCATAATCCTTTCATGACTCGGCATGTACTTGTTGATTGTTGTTTTCAATTAGCTAAGAACAGTAATTGTTATTTATGGTTCCAGAGCAAAGAAGAGTTCTTTTCAACACAGCAAGACATTCTTCTGCAGTCAGTCCAGATAATCAAGAAGCATGGTGCTACGTTGGGTAGCACCCTGGAGGATATGACTTACTGATACACCGGCTGTGGAAAAAAGTCATCGATCAGTGATACACCGAATGTGGAAAAAAATATTTTTTGGAGGTTAGGCCTTTTTGAATGTATCTGCTACCTTACTTGAATGTTAAATAGATTTGAGGTTATTTGCACATGTTGAGGCTTCATTGTTATTTTAATGCATCCTGGTTTAATTGACGAATCATGCAAAACCTTAAAGATAAAATTGAAACAAAAAGAGAACAAAAAAGCCAGATGATTTTGTATTCAGCTCTCTCTCTCTCTCTCCATGTGTGTGTATGTATATGTGTATATATATATATATATATATATATTATGAACCAGATTTGATGCTTTTGGATTTGTGAACTAAAAGAAGCCTTTGTCAATTCTCTCTACGCATGTCGGAAAACATTACTCCTACCAAAACCCTAGATTCAACTCTCTCCTCCTTGTCTCGTTATCTCTCTGTTCTCTGCGTTTTTCTAGTATTATTATCATCATCATTATTGTTATTATAATTATTTGTTTCCATCGCATCCCTTGTGTTTGAGTTGGAATTTTGTAGCGAGACACGTGGTTAGTCGGGATAAAGTCAAGGTGATCGAATTCTTAATGATCTAGTGTTGTTAATGATCAGTTGCTGCATATAGTTATCTGCAAAGTCGCAAATATCGAAGATGGAGCCCTGAGTGAGTTAGTTAAAGGACATTTGTGTGTGTGTGTGTGTGAGAGAGAGAGAGAGAGAGAGAGAGAGAGAGAGTGAGAGAGGCTAGACAGGAACCAGGATGCGCATGGGACTATGGGAGGTCTATCCGTGACACCGAAGGCCAAAATTCTGATTCTTTATATCAATCACACCGATGATAGTTAGACTCTTTTGGGAATGTCAATAATGCTATCCCCTCGAAAATTGAAGAAAACCATAACAATGCGTTAATTGGCACACAGAAGATAAAGTTTGAAAGCCAAAATTGCAGAGAGCATCTGTGAATATATATATATATATATATACCCCAACACACACACACAAATGTCAACTATGGAGTTGGAATTCTCGCACTTCCTTTGACGTATCCTATTTAAAACCTAGCATGCTTGTACATGTATCAAGCAATGGTAAGTTGTGTGTCTTTTATTCAGACAGGAAGTTTTGCCTTCCCTACAGTTAGGCTCCAATTAACGCATTGTTTCGGAAACTTTTGATTTCCGAGGGTGTGTTTTTTCCTTGTTTCTGTAAGATCCCCCACACTGATCCATTGTACTCAAAGTCTACGCAATGAAAGCTCGATTTTGGATTGCTGATGCAACATTCAGCTTGTTCTTATCTAATGTCTGCTTCAGTTGCTGTGGTGTCTCAGTATACACTGGTAGCTAGTTTGAGATCAACTGATAGGAAATGCATAAATTGTTCTTATACGAAATTGCCTTTGTGAGTGTAACATCACCAATCAAAAGAATGCCAGAGGAACAAAAAATGCAAATATTGTTAAGAAGTTAAGAACTGAAGGAGAGATTAGTACCTAAGAAAGCATATTTTCATTTTCGAAATTACATATAATAACAACATGTAACTACAAGAGAGATACAACTGTACCAAGAACATTAAATGAACTATCAATTTACTTCCAATCCAAACAATACCAAATCAAACTTATTCAACTTTGTGTCCAACTTCGGATTGAAATAAACATTTCTAAGCTTGAGGAAGGTCTGCATGGTGAGTAAACTATCCGAACCAGCCTGCTGGCTCTTTCCGGCCACACGATCAACGTTCAACACAATATCTGATCCTATGTTTGATGCCTAAAATCCCACTAACCCCATGAAATCACTCAAATCATTAGGCAATTCAGAAGCCGAAATCACGTAACCCAAGTCAATGGACATCTTCTGAAATTCAGTCCAGACCAACTCAGCATCACAGCAGAGAAATCTATACCTTGTCGCTTAAGCAAGTTGATAGAGTCGGGATTGTGATTATCAGAATCAAGGTCAAAATCGCAGAAATTAAATTCCCAGACGTAGCATGAATTTGTTCCAAAATCGGGAAGCTTCCCTTGCGCACCTGAAAGAGTGAGCCCCAACTGGATCAACTTCAAATGATCCACATTTAACTTCATGAAATAGTAGTTCTCGATCGATGGAATTTGAGAGGGTAGGTTTCGATTGATGTCTGGTCCCGGAAATTCAGTGTCGATCGAAGCATATGGGTATTCAACTTGATGAATCATATAGAACTCTTCAACTATATTTTTCTTCCAAACTTCTCTCACAATTACAGGTTTTTTTTAGGCAATTCCATGCTTCTCAATCGAAAGTAGAAAACACGAAGACACAAAATACAGTAAGAATACAGAACTATACAACTACGGGAGAGGGCGGTGAGATTTATATATATATATATATATATAATGTAACCTAATAACCTATATGGAAAGTCTGGTGAAGAAAGGAGTTACATGAGGCGGTTATAATATGGAAAGTTCTTTTATAAGTAGGATTAATTATACTACTATTTTTTAATTTATGTGCTCTCATTTATTTATAAAATCAACTAGTGGGATTTTAGGCCCTTCCACAAATGTCCATGAAACTTTGTAAAAATAGAAGAACTCCAAATTGCATTTCCATTACCGATATATACCATTTCCACATAGATGCAATTAGACTCCAACTTGACCAGTTATATAACAAGATTAAATTGGAGTCCGCATAATAAAAATGGACCAAGGCCATTGCTCATTAAGTTATCTCAATGGCAGTACTAATAAAATATAGGAAGAGGTCCATTTTATGAGAAATTATCACATCATATATCGATCAATTATTAGTTGATATATAATAAAAAAATTGAATAAAATTAAGACAAATATTTGGATGTCAGCAAGTGATTGGTGCAAATCAAGGTCACGGAATCAAAATTGAACATTTGACTTATTATTATTTTTTGATAAGTAGAACATTTGACTTATTATATTAGTTAATGCTCCTGTTTAGCTATTTCTCAGTAGAAACACAAAGAACTAAAAATTACACTATTAAAATTAAGTTGCTCCTTAATACACTATTAAAAATTAATATAAGTTGCTCCTTAATACGCTATTAAAAATTAACACTTGGTAATACGTACCATTTTAATACGTAGTATTAAAAATTACACTTTTAAAATTAAGTTGCTCCTTAATACACTATTAAAAATTAATATAAGTTGCTCCTTAATACACTATTAAAAATTAACACTTGGTAATAGGTAGCTATGTTTCCATAATAGGTAGCTATGTTTCCATTGGCAATATTGGCAATATAAGTTGTCAAATATTCTATGTTTCCATTTTAATACTCTCTATCAAAACTCATGCAGGAAATGTACTGTTACTCTACAAAAAGTTTTTGTAACACATATTTGCATTATAACTTTAAGGGCATGATAAATCAATGTCATCCCCATGGAAAATCAGTTGCTGCTTGTGCTTTTGAAGTGTGGATCATAAATTGGTTTTCAAGGCCAAACTTTGGAATTCAAATGGAACATTCATGCATAGGGGCTTTTTATATCAGTTGGTGGTGCTCGTGTTTAGTCTTTTCTTCTACTAAAAACAAATAAGGAAAAAATTAAATTTTGACAACTTTCTAGCCTATATTACAAATACCACTGTATTAAAAAAGTATTGATATATAACATTTTTTTAGCACAATATACAATATAAATATACAATATAATTATGCACTCCCTCTATCCTACAAAAAATTGTTCACCTTTTTATTTTGGTTGGTCAAAATAATTGTCCAATTTCTCCTTCCAATGCATTATTTTTTTTATAATTTCTAATTTACGCTCGTTACTTTGAAGTTCTAAAAACAATTCAAATTATGTGGGTAAAAAAATACGTAGTATTAAAAATTACACTATTAAAATGTTAGAGTCAAAAGGACAATTATTATTGTTATTTTTTGGGACATAGGGATTATATATTTGACAAATTATATTTGCTCCTTATATTTCGAACCTATACACCTACTAACATAATCTAACATCTAACACTTTTTACTTAGCAAATAATAATAATAATAATTAATAAATAAATATTTGCTCCTTCAAATTAGGTGAATAGGCGCAAGTAAAGGGTGTATTGGTCATTTCAAAATTCTCGCCAATTAATTAAAGAAAGGGTACACGAAAAAGATTTTTTTTTTTTTTGTTTTGGAGACAATATTTGACAACTTTTATTAGCTCCTTGCAAATGCCTCGAAATTGGAGTGCCGAGCCTTTCCATCTCACTAATTTAATTATTGACTTACCAAATAAAATAAAAATAAATAAATAAACAAATAAAGGTTGTCCTAGTCATTTCAAAATTCTCCCCCAATTAGTTACTATTATAAACAGGGTACGCGAAGGATTCTTTCGCGGATAATGCTTAACTACTCACCGGTGAGTAATTTCACCCTACTCACCCCTCATGTGTTACAATAACAACATATTACATTAGCTTTAATAAAAAAAGTTATTCAATGGTTGATCTGAGAAAATATAGAGAACGTGGATTATTTGGTTATTAAAGTTGATATGGTATATTGTTATTGGAACACATGAGGGGAGAGTAGCGTGAAGCTACTCACCGGTGACTAGCTAAGTATTATCCTTCTTTCGCCGATCGCAGCAGCTCAATCCGACAACCTGAAAACACCCTCCGGCGCCGCTCAATCCGTCATCCTCCTTGTGTGCTTGAGAGAGTGGGTATAATTGGTTATAAGAATCATCTGAAGACAAAGCTAGGGTTTTTGAGTGGTCTTTCAACCAAAAACCTCCACCACCCACAATCTGATCAGCCCTTTCTGTTGTCATTCCTTCTCTTCCGGGATGCCTGCGCAGCCGCCTACGGAATTTAGAGACTGGTTTATTCGTCGACAAAAATCACAAATGCTTCAGGTCTATTGTTCTCTCTCACTGTCTCTTCACATGTGCAAATATAAATATCTACTACAATTACAGGGGTTGGACTTGGAGGACACTGGTAGGGTTGTCGGTTGCGACGGAACTATACACTTGTCGGGACCTTTGGATGATCCGAGTGAATGTTCCTTCACAGAATTCGAATCTTGAGTTTGTGAGAGTGGTCAAGGCAAACATACAGTGCGTTTCTGGTGAAATTTGGTTTATATATCACCTTTGTGGGAACTAATGATGCTGGTGTGGGGAACACTTACGTTTGTTGTTCTCTTCAAAAGGAATGGACATTAATGTTGTTTAGGCTCGCTCCTCAGAGCCCTTCAAATCCTGTTGTTAATCAAGGTAACTACTTCAGGTCCCAAGTGTTAATTTGAATTCGATTAAAATCCTTTAGCATTTATTTAAATGATGTTTTGAAATATCATTTATTATATTCTCCCGTCTTAGTATGTCTCTCTCTTCTTCTTTGCATAGAGTGTAGATTAGTTAATATTGTTGAGGATAATTAACTCCCTCCAACCCACTCAACGGTCGGCTGTTGTTGAGAGTTAAATCTCTCATTCATCACGCATAGCGGAAGTATCATCACATCACATTAACACAAGCATATATAGAGATAACAACCATACACATCCACGCACAACACAATATTTTACATGGTTCACCCAACTCTAGGGTTACATCCATGGGAGAGAGAGATTTCACTATTATGAATCAAGGAAGAGAATATACAATCACATGTCAAAACCCCACTCACTCACTCATCATCTCTTTTGAGGCTATATGTATACACTCGAAAATTACATATACGCTCCCCTCTCCTCACAACACTCACCCTTAAACCTCTTACATTTTTCTCTTTTCTCTCTCTCTCTAAATCCTTCATACCCATCTCTATTTATAGAGTCTTCAAAACTCAATTCCTTGTTGGACAAGTATTCCTCAAATCCAATTTCTTGTTGGATAAGAATCAACTTACTTACAAGGAGTTACCATATCCATCTTCAACTCTAAAATAGCTGGTATAACTTCTTTCCCAAATCTTATGGATTCCAAAACCAATCAGGAAACTATTTCTCGCAGCTTCCAAAATAAAAAAGGAAACTAATTTTCTGCGCACAAATTTTGAGCCACAAACCCAACAAATATATAGGAATAGGATTGTGAATAGTGTTCTACATAAATAAATATATAAAAATCATAAGATTATGACATAGTAGAATGTGAATTATCTCGTGACTTATCTCACAAAATTAAACTTTTTGACAGATATGGTGTTCCTATTTCTACATGTTTTTCTAACTTAATTTCTAATTAGATCTCCGTCTCCTCACATAGGGTTTTAACCTTTTATCTTAACATTGCTTCATTAATTTGATCATAATGTTGATAATGGGTTATAAAGGGTATACACTTGATATCAAGAAATTCTTTTATTTTCTCATCAGGTATATTATTTATTGGTTACCATAGTTGTTAAAAGAAAATTTTTGATCAATTTTTTTTGCTGGCGGGTCGTGGACCCTGTTTACTAATCTCTTGTAGCCTGATATATAAGGGAGTTTAGGGTTTGAAGTGATATCGAGAAACACTGGAAATTGCATAACAGAGTGAGAGCAAGAGCTAGGGTTTGGGAGCTGAAACTTTTAATCTTTTGTTTTTTGCATAGTAAAATATTTCGCGGGATCTCCATCATGGATGTAGACATACCTTGCGTCGAACCACGTTAAATCTTTTTGTGTAGCATTTTTATTTTTCTGTCATGTTTCGTGATTGTTAATTGGTTATCTAAATTAAAATTACAATTCATGTACACTTTTATTCTTGCTTATCTAGATTCCTTTTAATTTTAGACCTTTCCTCCAAACATCCAATTTAGCACTTATCTTTTCTCTAGTTTCATCAATGAATAACATATACCATGGAATTGATTCTATCTCATCAGTTCATCCATGGCTAAGGCAAAAAATATTCTTAATGCTAACCCTTAGACATAAGTCAACATAAATTGAAAATAACCTTGATTTCTCACAATTGTTTTATTTTGTTTTTAGGTACGCCGGAATCCAAAGATTAACTCTTGGAAGTTTACAAGGATAAATAGAAGAAACAGTATTGCTGCTCCTATTACTGTTAGTAGAATTTACTTGAATCAACCCTACCGCTCTAGTTAACATATGGCCAAATATGAAATAGTTGGAGAAATTTGATGATGATTAAGCGTCATTTTGTTTAATATAATGAGTTCAAGTCTATATGTTCAATTAAAGTTGTCTTTTTGAACTCTGTTTTCTTTATGGTGAATAGTGTAATTCTTTGTTTGTTTGTTTGTTTTTTATTGTTTATTTCTGTCAAAGACTCCCCCTGCACATTTGTTTTAAGGATTTCTCTTTTGCGTTTTTTGTAAACAATTGGATTCCGGGGCATGTTTGTCCTTGTTTCTGTTTAGGTTCTTGTTGTAGAAATTAGTGAAAGCCCTGTGGTACATAGCATTACTTGTGATCTTTGGAATTTATGAATTGATTAGGGGACAACTCGAATTTCATGCTCAATTCTTGACCTTTTTCTATTATTAAGATTTTTAAGGAAAAAAAAAAATCTCTTAAGAAATCTATATTAAAAAAAAAAAGGGTATGCAAATATCATCAAAATGAGTATGTACAAGTTTGTGTAGATTGAATTCATTTCTGGACCGTTAAAGAGTGATGTATGATGAAAGAATGTTTAATGGTGGAGAGTTTTTGTTATGATTTGGTATCACCAATGTGTTGATGCACTTCTGAAGCATATTCTTCTCTCTTCCACCAAAAGTTCAAGCAAATTAATGCTTACACATACATAAATATTGTTCATAGCAGGGTGCCAGCATTCAACATTCCTTTTAAAGGGAAGAGTAATACCTATTTGGATAGAAAAAATTTCATGATGTTTATCTTGAATGATGTGGCATGACGGTTGTTGAATAAGTTTTTAATTATTGTTTGTTTTTATTATTATTGGTAAGAAACTGTGTCCCAACCCGAAAATTCTAATAAAATCTTGATTTATACAAATCTATATATATCAAAATACACCAAAAAAAAATAAATGAAAATTCTCTTTTATACAAAGTCAATTTCCTCAAATATATACAAAATTCTTTAAATAAAAAGAATAAATCTTACAACGCCAACTCTTTCACTTAAGCCCGAAACTAGCAATTCTCGTTTATATTCTATACCTGAAATTAGAGGGTGATGAGACGGAAAGTCCCAGTAAGAAAAATCATAACAAAAATTTCATGGAAGTTTAATAAAACAGCTTCACAAAATATACATATTCATGTAAGTATAAACAAAATACATATGCATTTAAATAAAACATTTAATAAAACCGTTTGAAGCAAAGTCACTCTCATTCAAGGTATAGGGAACCTTACACTAAAAAAGAATTCCCTCACTAAATCACCAAGTTTTCAAACCTCTGGCCTCCTCTGCAGACTCTCTGCTTACGCTCTGTTTTTCCACCAAACTCTCTGTGTCTTCTCTCGACTCACTCACTTTTTCCTCTAATTTCTCTCTTCTCTGTCCTATCTTCCAAAGCCACAAAACTGATACAAGTATATGAAGGCAAATCTAAAGTTGAGGAGGGTATCGGCTTCAAGGATGTGGAGGCTTTTAACCTTGCTCTTCTCGCTAAGATTGCGTGGTGGATGGAAAAGGGAGATAGATCTTTACTAGTCAATTCCTTCAAGCAGAAATACTTTAAGGGCTGTGCTTTTGTGGATGCGCCTTATATATCCAATGCCTCGTGGGCCTGGAAAAGTATTTTCTCCGCTAAGGAGGTCATCAAAAGAGGTATGTTATGGCGGATTGGCGACGGCTCTTCGATTGATTGCTGGTCTGATAATTGGATTCCGGATTCTGTTGATTTCAAAGTGGCATCAAATCCAAACTCTGCTTATTTTTCCTTAGTATCGGATGTTATTAGTCATTCTCTTCACTGTTGGAATACTAATTTGGTACGTCACCATTTTAATGAGCGGGATTGCAAGTCTATCTTTCAGATTCCTTTGAGCGTTAGGGGTGGTGTGGATTCTAAGATTTGGGGCGGCACTCCTGATGGTGGTTTCTCTGTCAAGAGTGCTTATCGAGTGGCTTTTTCCATTCTCCATCCTTTTTCTCAATCTCTTCCTTTGGAAGGGTGTAGTTTTGCGGCTTCCAGTGGCGATATGTGGAAGGGGGTGTGGCGTCTTCGGGCTACTAAGAAAATTCAAATCTTTATTTGGTTGAGCCTTCATGAACAGATCCTAGTGACCACTCAGCTTTTTAAGCGCGGGGCGTCTCAATTCTTTGGTTGTGCTTATTGTGGGCAATTTGTTGAAAGCATGGATCATCTTCTTTGCTCTTGTCCATTTGCTTGTAAGGTTTGGAAATTGAGTCCTCTTCGTCTGGATTTCAGCGGCGCGTTTCCTACTACATGGCGAAAGTGTTGGGTGGAGATGTGCGACAGATGGAGTTCTACAGCGCAGTCCGTTGAATGTAGTGGATTGGCGGCTTTCATCTGTTGGTGTATCTGGAAAAGCCGCAACAACTTGACTTTTTGCAGGTTCAGTAGGGATCCTTTTAAAGTGGCTCAGAGGGCTTTTAGGGATTTCAATGAATTTTCAGAGGTCTCTCGCCAGTATCTTCTTCTTTCTTTTCCTTCTTCCCCTCCCCGTGTTATTATTTCGAAGTGGGTTACTCCGGTTGAGGGATTTCTCAAGCTCAACTTTGATGCGGCTTTCAATTCTGTTTCTAAGACTTGTGGTGGGGGTATTATCTTGCGGAATCATTTGGGCCAACCAATTAAGATTGCATCAATAGTTTTCTATAATGTTAGCAACGCATCTTTGGCAGAGGGTTTGGTGTTGTGAGCTTATATTCTTATGTTAAAGGATTGGGGTTATAAGTTTGTTGTTGTTGAAGGAGACTGTCAGTCGATGCAATGTCTTCAACCTTCAATGGCCTCTCTTTTTGTGATCGGACATTTCTTTTCTTATTTCAGTTTGTCCGCACTCTTCTCTTGCTTGGACCCTTAGAAAAGGAAATGTTGTAGCTCATTTACTGAGCAAAAAGGCTTTTAAAGCCAATTGTGATGATTTGGAGTGAAGCATATGACCACCGTGGTTGTTAAATGCTATTCTCGTGAATGTATCGTTTCCACCTATACTTTAACAAATATCAGCACTGCTCATCACACGCTCCCTCAGACACATCATTGCTATACCTATCAGCCACCAAAAATGCAAGGCCACGTGAAAGAAAAATCAGAGCTAAAAGAATTTGGCTCAAAAGGTCATGGTTCCCGCCAATTACCTTTCTTTTCTTTCCTTTTTTTTCGTCCACACCTTTCCATCTGATACAATATATATATATATATATATATATATATATATATATATAATAACAAAAATCAATTCACCCATTTCAAACATATTAGACAACTCCCAACCCAAATGAAATTTTGTCCACAAAATCAATTTCATGAGCCCCATCGATCATTATTTTTTCCTTTCTCCCTTATCACTTCGGCAGCCACCTGCCCATTTCCTTCGTTTGATGCTACAATTATATATATATATATATATATATATATATATATATATATAATTGCATCAAAAAACAAAAAAAAATTCATTTCAAATCTTCTTTTCTCTTTCGTTCTTTTCTTAGGAAACTACATATAGGTAGATTTAATAACCTTAAATAATAAAATAGTTTAATTTTAAAATTTATTTTTTAATTTGATTAAATTAAACAAAATAATTACAAATACATCAATAATTTTTGTTAAAGTCCAAAATACCCTTCAAACTCTTATTCTAAAATATTAAAATATCTTTATTATTATATAAGAATTTTAGAACCTATTTTGATCCGATTATTATGTGGCATGGACACATCATTACTCTTATTATTTTTTTTTTTTCATTCCAAAACGACGTTTCTCTTTCTCTCTCTTCCTCATTCTTTATCGTCTCTTCTCTTCCCTCTCGTTCCTAGCCCTTTTCTCTTCCCTCTCGCAATTCACGTAACCAAATCCATTTCAAATCTTCTTTTTCTTATCTTCGGCACTCACCACCATACAGCATACAAAATAAATATATTTAAAAAAATATATCAAATCAACTTCTCTCTTTAATTCGGCTGATCCCTTTTGCCATCTTATCTCATCTTTCCATCGTCGTCAATTTACGTATATATACATACATATCCAAAACTCAATAATGAAACTCACCAAGCTCACTGGACACCGAAAATGAAAATGAAAATGAAAATTAAAAAAAAAAAAAAAAAAATACTCTTCCACTGTCTTCTTAACAAATCAAGACCTAACATCGCGAATAATCATTCTTGACAACCAAAAATTATAAAATAAATATAATTTAAAATCTTAAAAATCTAGATTATCACAAACTGACTCACACACCCACTCTATTCTTTTAAAGACTGAAATCTTCACCATTCACTCTAAGAAATAGAGAATACCACTGGTTCCAAATTTGAACCAAGGATGGCGAAGTTAATAGGAGAATTATCACGAGTTAATTTTTCTGATCAAAAGTTGCTTTTGATTGTAATAATTACAAAACCTTATTTTGCTGTTAATCAATGCTAAAGCATACAAGCCAGAGTCTCTCTAGTAGAGAAGGATGATAATTATATCTATTTCGCAACACCATTTCTCAGATACTCAACAAACTCACTAATATACTGATCGTGCAGCTCTCTGTCCCCGAAAATAGCTGTGGCTTCTTTGGCACGAGCCCTTAGTTGCTCTCCTTCCTCTGAAACCATGGCTTCTCTCAGAGACTTGGCTATGTCGTTCCTGCTAAATGATCCGTCTTCGCTTCTCTCCACTTCAATTGCCAAACCCTTCTCTACTAGTAATCTTGCATTCAACCCTTGATCGAGGATGAGAGGCAGCACAACAAGACAATGCCCAAACTGCAAACTTTCTATTGCAGAGCCCCATCCAGAGTGAAACAAAGTCCCCCCTATGGACTGGTGTGCTAGGATGTCCGTCTGAGGTGCCCAGCCGATATGCACCACCCCTCGGCCGGATGTCCAGTGGTCGAAAACCGGTGGTAGGGCATCGAGATCGTTGATAGCCCAATGGGGTTTTCTAAGTGCCCATAGAAAAGGCAATTCTGATAGCTCTAGTCCATTAGCTATCTCACACACTTGTTCTTTGCTTAGTTTACACTCGCTACCAAACCCTACAAACACAACTGAACTGGGTTTTTGCTTGTCAAGCCATTTAAAGATCTTATCCCATGATTCATCAGTGACTTCTCTCTCTTTAGGAGGTCGTTCCGGTTGAAGAAGTCCCACCGGAATTGCCGGCTTACCGGTGATCTTCGCTTCTAATTTCATGTACTCACCTTCAAACTCTTTGCAAGTACGTATAGCTATAGCTTGACATGCATGGAGCACTTTCGCCATGCGTTGAGCATCACTTGTCCCTGAGGCATTTTCTCCGAAGAATCCAGCATGAAAGGCGATTGCTTCATGAGTCCTGAAAGCCACCGATGATGGAAAACTAACCCACTCCGGCGGTGATGTCATGGTTTCCGGGGTTGACCAAAACCTCTTTTGACCATCTCCAACTAAGAATTCCGGTGGCCCTACCATCACAAGAGTAGCAGTTGAGTAAGCAGAGAAGCATAGGAGTGGGATCCGATACTCTTGAGCGATCTCGACCGCCCAGTGTGGGATGAGATCAATGATCATCCAATCGGGTGATCTTTCAGCAATGAACTGCTTGAAGGGTTGTTGCAGGAGATCATATGCCACCTTTAAGTACTGAATTTTGTCGAAGGGTAGGTCCACGGTGGCCTCGGCCTCCACCGGCAAGAGACTCCGATCCACCGCCGGAAGTGGAAGCTCCACCAGATCTATCAGAGCTGCTATTTCTGGAGGAGGCTTAGGGAGTCTCCGGATGTTTTTTGGAGTTGATACCAAAGAGACATGAACTCCGGCTTTGGCTAAGGCGAAGGAGAGCTGAAGAAATGGGAAAATGTGACCAAATGCTGACCATGGAAGCATTACTACGTGAATATCATCTCTTCCCATTTTTGCTTTTGAATAAAATGAAATGAAAGCAATAAATTAAAGTATATATATATCAAATAAAAAAAAATTAAAATAATAAAAAATCCTCTACACTTTTAAAATAATATAAATATATATATATATACATATATACATATGCAGATATGTATAGTGTCTTTCATATATTTACACAGCCATTATGGAAAGAAAAACTTGAAAGTTTGGCATCAGACACAAACTAAATATGTTTTAAAAAAAAAAAAAAAAAATCTAACTAAATACGAATATAAAGTTATAAAACTTATCAAAATAAATATATTTTTATTTAATTAACAAGTGATCCGTACTATATAATTATTACATCAAAAACATTTAAAATTTTGTTCGTATAAGCTGTACCTTGTACACAGCCATAAACGCAATTTAATGTGCAACTCAATTATTTGGTAGGCCGCACATGGAGCCCAATTGATGGTTACAGTTTTGGAGATCGTGGATGACTCATAAAAAGATTCGAATATTTTGGACAAATTTTTTTTGACATGTGTTTAGTGATCCACGTCAGCACTATACTGTAGGAGACAAGCTTTTTCCTTATTTTATTGTTATTAACGAATTTGGAATAATTTTGATCCAGTTGTAGTGAGCAAACTGTCTTTTCATTTTTTTTTTAAAATGATTAAAAACATATTTCTAGGAATGGCAACAGTTTGTGGTGGGGCCCTTGCACCCGCTCCCTCCCCATTTAACAATTTTTTAATTTTTTATATATATAAAACAATAAAAGAAGGAAAAAGTGCAAAAAAAAAAAAAAAAAAAAAACTTTTGAATTATTGAAAAACTTGCAACTAATTCCCTAAACTATCAAAATTGCAGTAAACTTCCTGAACTATACAAATTTGTTGCAGATTAATCCAATCAGCCACCAGCCGGCTAAAAATGAGCGCGTGATTCTCACACGACAGGCAAATTGATTTTTTTTGACAACAATGCCCTTCCGGCCACCATCTGCGACATCCCCTCCTTCAATCTCAACCCCGTCGCCGTCAGTCTCTATCGTGTTCCTAATTATTGGCCAACTTATACCTCTCCAAATGGTGGTTGTATTGGATCCTGCAATTACCGCCCCAACAACACCGCCACCCATTACCCTATTTTAAATCGGTAACCAAATAACACATCAAACCCATAACCACCACCACCTTCAACCAAAACCATCACCGCTCCTCCACCCAAAACCTCCACAATCATTACTCATCCTCATCACAAAGCCACCCCAATTGAAAAAAAAAATGAAAAAATAAAAAAAGATAACCCATATGCTTTCTGCAAAACCAAACCCAAATCATCACCATTGCAATCCAAAATAGCAAACCTTCACCCCTCACCACCAATTAATTGTACACACAAATTTCGTAGTCTGTAAATAAAGAACAAAATAGGGAGCAAATAACAATTTATTAATTTATGAAATTTCAAGTACAATTCTCTGAGATATTCTTTACAAAAGAAAAAAAAATATCATTTGATTCGATCTCCTTTGTTAGTTGGATTTAAGGGCTGTTGGAGCTTGATCTTGAATCAGGTTGTTGACAGTCTTATTTAACTATTTGTAGTTGAAGAAGACCGCCAATGATTTCTGATCGAGGGCTGACGAAGCTTCATCTCGAACAATGTTGTGTGGTGATTCGTTAAACTTGTTGAATCAGGAAAAAAGAACGGCATGATTTTAATATGCTTGTTGTTCTTTGTTGAATTTGAGGAAGAACGGCACGGCTTTGGATATGCTTGTTGTTCTTCGTTTTCAGAAAGAATTTGTTGAATTTGGTGAAGAACGGCACGACTTTGGATGTGCTTGTTGTTGATCACCGTGGAATTTTGATGAAGAACGGCATGATATGATGTGCTTGTTGCTCTTCGCCTTCAAGTTTGGGTGTTGGGAATGAATGTTGGCAGAGCTTCTGTATTTCTCTCTGAGATTTTTGGCCTTCTGGATTTCTGAGTCTCTAAATTTCTGGACCTTTTGGATTTCTGAGTCTCTAAATTTCTTGAACTTCTGGATTTCTGAGTTTCTAAATTTCTGGACCTCCCTTCCTCATTCTTCCATACCTCTATTTATAGGTTTCTTGGATTAATATTGTTGATGCCAAAAATCTACACGCTCCGGAGTCTGTGACGATTCCTGCAAGACAAAAGAAGTGATGACTGGCGTGGTGCCCGCCGGGTGCACTCCGACGGTCAAGTTAGTACTCGATGATTAAATATCCGATAAGTATTCAATATGAAATTTATGTCATACCTTTTTAGGTTGACTGATCCTTTCTTTTATAGAAGCATTAATGGTAGTAGTTTTTCAAGCGAGATTCTCCCTGATCCAAGATAATATCGTTCCCTTCTTACAGGAATGGTAACTCTGGTTATATATGGTATTATGATTCCATAGAGATTTTGGGTAAGATAAATCCCTTACCCTTATCTTATTTCTCTTTTGACTTTGAGCTGCCTATTATTTTTATCCTTATCAGTTGCCCCCCATTCTCGTGCTTGCTTGTCAAGTATCGAGAATGTCAAAAGTGTTTTTTTGATTGACATCTCTTTAGCATAAATCAATCTCTTTTTTAGGTTAACTTGTTGGGCGACCTTTTTTGGTTGATCTCTTAAGATTTGCCTGAACTTCATGAGCTGAGGGAGTAGGTTTTCTTTAAGCTGAATGAGCTTACCTTTTAAAAAAAAGAAGTATATTTATGAGTTTTATTCAGCTCGTCCCTTAAAAAGGAAAATATATTTTACGAGTTTCACTCAGCTCGCCCTTTAAAAAGGGAAGTATATTTTACAAGTTGATTTCAACCTTTTTAATACGGAGGAAAATATATTTTACGAGCTTCACTCAGCTCGCCGTTTAAAAAGGGAAGTATATTTTACAAGTTGATTTTGACCCCTTTTAATACGCAGGACAACAATTACGAGCTTCATTCAGTTCGAGCCCTTATAGTACGAGGCGTTTTTATATCAATCCCTTATAATACGGGGAATGGCAATTACGAGCTTCATGAACTTATCCTTTTAATATGGGAGGTTCATCCTCGTGAGTAACTGATTTTCCAGAGTTTCGTGAGCTCGTATCTTTAATAAGAGAGGTTAACTTTCTGCCCCCATTCCCAAGCTTGCCTCTCGCGTACAAGGAACACTAATGTTCTCTTTCTATTTGCAGAGTTAGCAAAGCAAAAATAAAAGGACAGATGTCCAGTTTGAACGGATAATATATATACATATTTATATGTATCAGAATAGATACAATTAAGGCAAAAACTTATCATTGAGCATCATAGGACCAAAATCATCAATGAAGCTAACGATTGTTCTCTAGAATAAGAAACTTTTTTTTTTTTTTAAACCCTGTGAACAGTATCCGCGGGTATTATTCACGTGAATAGTACTTACAAAATAAATAAATAAAAATTCTACACCTTGTGAACAGTACACGCTGAACTATTCTTGTGAATAGCACTCATAAAATAAATTTTTTTTTTTTTTCCTACACCCTGTGAACAGTACCCTCAAAGCGTAGTATTTTATCAGAGGGTCCCCAGGTGAACTACATTATTATGTAGGTGAACAATATTTTGCAGACAATTGAAAACACATAAAAAATTGTTTCTCTTTAAATCATGTGAGGAAGTGTACACATATATACGCGTAATGCATGAAACTTACCCGATTAACAGCGATAACGAAACAACTGCTAGCGGTCAGGCGGGACTTTCTAGCAATTTTACCAGATTGAGCAACTGTACCCTTACTTTTGGCCATGCAATCCATGAACTGTTCTCTTTCTTTTAGAGAAAGCCAGATTGTAAAGGGACTGAATTGCTTTTAAGTTTTGTCGTAGATTTCCCTTGTACGAACCATAATTTGTTGTGACTAATATACGTTCTCACAGACGGCGCCAACTGTTGATGCCAAAAATCTACACGCTCCGGAGTCTGTGACGATTCCTGCAAGACAAAAGAAGTGATGATCGGCATGGTGCCGGCCGGGTGCACTCCAACGGTCAAGTTAGTACTCGACGATTAAATATCTGATAAGTATTCAATATGAAATTTATGCCGTACCTTTTTAGGTTGACTGATCCTTTCTTTTATAGAAGCATTAATGGTAGTAGTTTTTCAAGCGAGATTCTCCCTGATCCAAGATGATATCGTTCCCTTCTTACAGAAATGGTAACTCTGGTTACATATGATATTATGATTCCATAGAGATTTTGGGTAAGATAAATCCCTTACTCTTATCTTATTTCTCTTTTGACTTTGAGCTGCCTATTATTTTTATCCGTATCAAATATGATGATGACACGTGTCCTCTCCTGATAAGGACAAAATCATAACCGGACTGGGCCGGTTATATTATGATAATTATCTTTAAAAATAATTATTCAAAATATATTTTATTAGGAATAATTATCTTTTCATTTAATCATCTGTGCTGGTCTAATAAAATAATTTAAGTGAACCAAGTTTGGGCCAATTAAATAATTTAATTAAACATGAGATACATATTTGACGGGTCAATTTGTCAAAAGCAAAGTCTATTAAAATTTTAGTGTCTACAAATTGCCCCCACTTCGAGTCCCATGTTTAACGCGACTTGTCTCATTTTTCAAGTGGGACTTGAAGTATCCAACTTGGTCTTGAAATTGTAAAAGGTTTTCCTATTCAACTTTGGATTTTGCTTTCCCATTTGAACTGAAATATACAAATTGGAATACAAATAGGTTATATTTTGTTGCCTATATATACCACCCATGTCATAGGGTCTGACATCAATTCCAATAACCTCTGAAGACTTGTCAGATTACAGCTTCTGGTCGAACTTTTTTCTTTCTCTCTCTCTCTCTTCTTTTTTCTTTCTCTTTCCTTTTTTTTTTTTTTTTTTTTCTCTCCCTTTTTTCCACGCATTTTTTTTTTCTTCCTTTTTTTTCCTTTCACGCTGGATTTTTTTTTTTCTTCGCTTGGTCGGATTTCTTTTCACAACTTTTGCTTTTTTTACTTCCTCCTAATCCAATTACAACAAGAAACTAATGCAAGGAGAC